CCACCAATCCGTGCGAAAAAGTGCCGCGCGCCGAATACATGTGAGTGGGCACCCCCAAAAAAGAAACGACCAAAATAAAGCCCGAAAGGGAAGATCATTTTATAATCACCCTACCTTCCAGAGGAGAGCCGGGTTGACAGCGCGAATGGTTTTTCCCATTCAGCAGCGTCATCAGAATGTGCACCCATGCCAAACTGCTCAACACAAAAGTAGCGTAAAAAGAAAAACCGGGAGAGGTAACCGAAACAGTGCTAAACAACGTGCCAAATTTGAACATTGGAGAAACCTTCGGAAAAATAATCGCAGGAACTGGCGTAAGTTCAAACAAATTGGCAGTACAGCAATGAGGAAAGTGGTTGCAGCCTCATTGTTGGGCACCGCAACTCAAGAACCTAGCCTGCTGAAGCAAACCCTCACACTTGAAGAATACAGATCGAATAAGTACGCTGACGGAGGAACGCTTGTACCAAATCAAGTTAACAAACTCTGCAAAAAGAAAAAAACTCAAACCATCTCCAAATGGATTGAGACATGCGAACTCCGCAACAAACGCAAAAGCCAACGTAGGTATAGTAGAATGATAAAACGGAGAGCAAACTATTTCATCAGCAAAAATGATGCCAGCCCATCCCCACCCCAACAGGGCAATAACAATAATTACATACCCTATGCCCACAAATGGCGTATGGGCACGCTGAATTGCCGTGGGCTTAACGAGCAATCAAAACGAGAGCAAATTATGGAAATCATGCGTCAACTCAAAATTGATGTTTTGGCATTGCAAGAAACCAAAGTCAACCACTGCAGTGAAGAATGCCGTGTTAAAGAAGGTTCCAACGACCAGTACAGGTTCTTTTTCAGTTCCGCCAACGACACTCAGCGCCATATCGCGCAAGCGCCACAAGCCAAAGCCAAGGCCAAATGTGCGCAAAGAACTGAACACTGCGGGGTAGGATTTGTGATCGGTCCACGCTGTATTGACATTATTGCAGATTGTGTTCCTCATAATGGTCGTTTAATAGAACTGCACTTGCACAATAAAGGTCCAGACATATGCATTCTCAATCATTACGCGCCACATAGTGCAAAACCATCAGGGGAAAAGGATACACATTGGGGCCTGCTAACCCAAATCACTCAAGCACGCTCCTGCTGCATGCCTACATTTGTAGTTGGTGATGCAAATGCGCGCTTACATGGTCGCGCACATGAAATCGAGGAAACCGTCGTTGGTCCGCACGTTTTTGGCTGGGGCCAAGGTTTTGTAACAAGGCTTCCTGAAGAGCAACTTGAAAACCGTCAACTTATGATTGATTTTTGTATTGCAAACGATTTCATTATCTCCAATACTTTCTTCAACAAGGCCAATGAACACAAATGTACTTTCAAAGATGCCAGAACTGATGGCTTCAAAGCTCCATGGACGCCTGACAGATTTGCCCAACTGGACTTTATTCTTGCGCCACAACGATGGAAAAATGCAGTCCTCGATGTCCACTCTTACACAAACATTGCCTTCAATAGTGATCATGCGGTGGTTGTTGCAGACATGCGCCTGAAACTACGCAAGCACAAAAGTAGAGGTAAAGCGGCCCAAAATGCAAAAAGATTTTTCCAACCAACCGACGTTCAGCTTCAAAGATATAATCAGCAGGTCCATTCTCAGTTCATTTTTAAGACCGATACACTGGATGAGAAACTTAGTAACTGCTGTCGTTTTGTATCTCAGTTGCATAAGGCGGCGCTGGAAATCTTTGACGAAAAACATGTTGTACAAAATCGCGATTACCTTTCTCGTTATACCTGGCACTTAATTAATCAACGACAAATTGCTAGACAAAGGAGAGATACCCAAGCCGAGCAAGTCTTGAATCGTGAAATCAAGAAAAGTGCTAAAAGAGATAAAATACAATGGCGCATTAATAAGCTCGAAGATCTAACGGATATCAAAAATTCTTGGAAGCACATCAAATATGAAAAACGTGATTACATGCCCAAATTCTATGACATCAAAGACATCCGAGGAAATCGAGTCCCTCTATCAAAAAAAGCAGATGCAATTGCTGAATATTTGTTTGAAAAACAATGGGGGCCTACTAGCCCATCACCCCCACCTGAGAATGCTCGAGAAAACGTGTTTTCCCACCCCCTACCTTTCTTTACAGGAAACCTCTCTGCAAATGAAGTTAGAAACGCGATCTCCAAACTAAAAACCAACAAAACGCCAGGACCCGATGGAGCAATCACAGAACTCTTCAAATGGCTTGATGATCACACATTGGAGCAGCTCACCGACTGCTTGAATGTTTTCTGGACTGAAAAACAAGTTCCTGATTCCTTTACCCAAGCACAAGTATGCTGTATATACAAAAAAGGTGCGCACGACAATCCTGAAAACTATCGTCCCATCTCGCTCCTGAACACCAGCTACAAAATTTTTGCAAGCATCATTCAAAGTCGCCTCGCAAACATCCTGGAGCCTCTACTAGGGGACACTCAATATGGTTTCCGCCCCAAACGTTCCACTGCAGAACCACTTTTCTGCGTTCGCAGACTCGCGGATTTCGCTGAACAAGGCAACGACCCTCTTTTTTTTAATCTTTTTAGATTGGGAAAAAGCCTTCGATAAAATTGATCATGAAAAGATGTTCTTATCCCTTTCTAGACTACAGATTCCACCTAACATTCTTGACAATATTAAGAGTCTTTACTCGAACCCGACTTTCAAAGTCCTCCAATCTGACCATAGCAGCGATTGGCAAAAACAAAGAACTGGGATTCGACAAGGTTGCCCGCTTAGCCCCTACTTATTTATCCTCACGATGCACGTAATGTTTCATGATGTCAAAAATCAGTACCATGACCCCCTTCATAGCAAAACTTTCCAAGGCATAAATTTCCAAGAGCTGCTTTATGCTGATGACACACTTATCATTGCAAAAAATTCGGCAACAGCAAACGCTTTCCTTCATTTGATTGAAAAAGAATCCGAATACCTGCATCTTAAACTTAATCACGATAAATGCAATTACATCAAATTCAACGCACCACGAGGGAATATTCGTTTCAGAAATGGCACCGAAATGAAACCAACCACAGAAGCAAAATACCTGGGCTCAGTGATCACAAATACGCCGAATCCGGCGCAAGAAATTCGGCGTAGAATCTCCAATACGATGCCAGTTCTCAAAAAGCTAGACATTTTTTGGAACAAAACCCGCTGTAACAAAAAGTGGAAACTGCTAGTCTACAATTCGGTTATAGTGAGCCGGGTGCTGTATGGACTGGAATCCCTTGAGCCTACAGAAAATATTGGTCGGATGCTCGACGTTTTCCAACTAAAAGGATTACGCAAGATTCTGAACTTACATACCACTTTCGTCAACAGAAACAACACACATGAGTTTGTTTACCAACAAGCAAATGATGCCTTAGAGGCCCCTTCAGTTGGTCCACTCCGAAAAATTAAACCGCTGACTGAGATCCTTGAGGACAAACGTTTGAAACTTTTGGGGCATGTACTCAGACGCCCAAGATCGCATCCTCAGCACCAAGTCACTTTTGATTCGTTCCTTGCCAGACCAAAAGTCCCTACACTGCGTAGAGTAGCCAGATCCAGAAAATTCTGGACAACAGAAAATATGCGCAAAGCTTGGGAAATTATCCAACAGGCTGACAACGCTCAACCACATGTTCCTTTTGATCCAGCTAACCGGACAATTCGCGAGACATTAATTGCTGCGGCGCGAAACTACCAAGCGCCTTTTGACTAGTTACCACCATCTCGTTTTCAACATTAACAAAAATAACGGTTTTTCTTTGCTGACTAAGGTAATCCGCCAGTGAACACACTCCTTTTGAACGTGCTCTGTTTGAACATGCTCTGTTTGAACGTGACTCTATGTGAATGCTGTTTTTAATTTATTTTCTTTAGGATCTTGCGAGGAAAGCTCATGGCAATATATGACAGTTACACATATGCCACCACTCAATTTGAACATCTCTTTGTGAACCTCTCCCTGTGAAGTGACAATTCTACATTTCAAACCTTCTTGCAATGCTACTTGATAGTTTGATGATCTGTTACTGATTCTGGATAATAAAAGCGTAGCCTGAAGTGAGAGCTATGATTGTACAGCGGTAGTTTCCTTTTAGTTTTCCTCTTGTCCATAGATTCTTCCGTTTCGTTTTGAACCTTGTTCACACAGCAGGACCTAGGGCCAACGGCCGCGTGCGTTCAGCAAAGGTGGCTTAGGCTAAAAATAAAAATAAAAAATATATATTCATCAACTACATTCTAGATAGGGATTAAACATTATATTAATCACTAACTATTATTATAATAATGTGGTTATCAATAACCATGATATTAACCATGAATATTAACAATAAACTATATTAACCATGATATTAACCATTAATATTAACCATTAACTATTCTATTAACCATTACCATTGACCACATTATAGATAGGAATACTCATTAACCATCATATAGATAGGGATATTCATTTATTCATTAACCACATTATAGATAGGGATTAACCATTATACTCACCATTAACAGACCACATTATGAATGACGTACCCTCCGGTAAACTAACATAACTATGGAAAATCACCATTTTTCATGGGAAAATCCACTATTTCTATGGTCATTTTCAATAGCAATGTTTGACATGGTTCCTATTCTTAATAATGACTAGTACCCATGTTATTTATAACTATAGTTAATGGTTAATGGTTCCTGTTAATGTGAATAGTAGTTCCTATTATTTATAACTAATGTTAGTACCACTAGATATACAATAGTTAATAACTATGGAAAATCACCATTTTTCATGGGAAAATCCACTATAAATGGCCATTTTCAATAGCTATGTTACATTATAGACAGGGATTAACATGGATTAACCATTATATTCACCATTAACGGGCCACATTATGAATGACTTAATGCCCACATCAATGGTTAATGGTTCTCCCCATCGCCGCCGCAGGATGTCTTGCGTATCATCCCGGTGAAGGACGATCGAGTTCTGCCCGAGGAGCTGGTCAACAACCTCTTGAACACAGGTCCCGTTGCGGAAATGCTGGGAAAAACCATGGAAAAACCATGAGAAAAATCATGGAAAACGGTTTTTTCCTATAGGACAATGATGGAAATCGAGGGATAGGCGGTAGAAAATGGTAGTTGAATGAACTAAGTGGAACCGTTTCTGGTGGTTTTTGTTCGGAAAATGATGGAAAGTGGTTGGGAGCAATGGAAAATGATGCGGAACGATGTCACTGAAGATGGGGATACGGAATCATCTGGGATTTGCCCTAGAACTGGCAGTGGCAGATGTGGAAAATCCATAGGGAAGGCCACCCAAATGGTGTTTTTTTTCCACATCTATGTTTGTTTACAGGAGGGTATAGAATCCCTGGAGTTTCTTTTTTTTTGGTTGGATGGATGGAATTAGATTGTTTTTTTGTTGGTGGTTTATTTGAAAAAAACAGTAATGGTGGTGTTCCACTTTCAAACAGTGGCTTAGGTTTGATAGTGATAGTCGAGTTATAGTCGCTGATAAGATTCCCCTGTTCACCGATTTTATTGGACTATATATCATTTTTTTGGGGGGGGGCGATATATGGGGTTTACCCTCTGGTAAACTAACATAGCTATGGAACATGGTCATTTATATATGATATAACCATTAAATATGGTGATTTTCAATAGCTAGGTTAAATTACCAGAGGGTAATGATCGTTTTACCACTGGTTGGTAAGTGGGCGAAAAAAATAACATGTTGGAAGCCACTAGAGAATCCAAGTATCTCATCCATTTACTCTATACTCAGGAACTGAACTGGATGATTGGCTAATCTATTAGATTCTACTAGATTCATCCCAAATTCATGGACATTAGATTCTATTAGATTCTCCCAAGTTCATGGCCTATAATTCATTAGTTGTAATCCATTGCCCTTTGGTAAACTGACTGGAAAATCACTGTTATAGCTAAATCAACTATTTCGACTAGGCCATGGCTTCAAGTTCGCAAACTGTGAATGTTTATCCCATTAAATCTCCATTCTCATCCCATTCATATCCCATGGAAAATCCCATGAAGTACTATTTTCACAGAGCCAAATCACCATTTTTCATCGATAAATCAACTATAAATGGCTATTGTTCATGGGAAAATCACCATTTTTCATAGGAAAATCACCATTTTTCATAGGAAAATCACCATTTCTCATCCCATTCTCATCCCAGATCGGTCAGGTTCCGGTTCCCATCCCTTCGCACAGGGCGTTTGACAAATTTTCTTCGCCAGGTCTTTGGAGTCAGCTGAACATTCGCGCGGGCGTGCCATTGCATCGTCGAACGCCTGGGATTATGCCTGTCGCATGGTGAACGAAAACGCTCGGAGCGTTGTGGCGTTCGTTCATCGGTCTGTTGCTTTCCAGTTGAAGATGATGAACTAACTATAGGGGATATTAAAGAACCTCGAGATTGGGGGATTATATGGATTATCTGGTCGATGATTAACTATAGGGGGTGATTATGTTAGATTAGATCTTATTAGATTTAAAATCGCCCTTCAAGATTGGGGAAGGCCCTCACCATCATATCACCATCATTCACCATCCGTTGTGGACTTAGGTTTGGATGAGCATTTCATGAAGAAATGGGAGAACATATATGGATTGATAGGGAGTTTAGGCGCAACAAAATGGTGGTCAAACCAAGGACAATAGGGACACAAAAAGGATAACAAAGGATATGATATGGGAAGATATGGGAAGTGCAGATACCCTTCTACTGCAACGCTGGGAATTGTGAAGAGCGAAAAACTAAACACAGGATTTGTGAATCTGGAAACCATGGTTTAGTGTTTAGCCAGTTAATTTGACGTTCCCACGTAGGGGGCTTAGTATTCTGTTAAGATTTCAAGCAACACGTGGGTTGTAGGGCCTTTTAATGAATTCTTTGATCTCTGACTCATACAATACGATTCAGTTTACATAGTAAATTCAGGAAAGTGAACCAACTTGATCCATATGATGAAAATTTTCCATGTTGCATAGTTTTACTAATGACAGAGTGGTTGGTACCTGGAATATGAAAAAAATCTTTATGGATGGATCGCATGTGCGGGACCATGAAATCATGAATGGCGAGTCGGCAAGTTTTTTTGAACACCTTAATATCACGAACATGCCTAGACATGATCCATTTATATCCATTTATATATATATATCCAATTATATCCCATTAATTTATGTATATAAAACTATAATTAATACAGAACCTACCATATATGGAGCTTTCCTAAAATGGGGGGGTACCCGGGTGGTTTTCCTATTGATCCTAAGCAATTGAGGATGATAACGCTGTTCTCCCCTGTTCTCCCGAGCCCTGGTTTTTCATGGTTTATTTTAGGGGAATCATCCCAAATGGCCCAAGATTTCAGGTTAGTGAATCATAATTCGCCCAGATCCATGTTGAGTAAATCTCATTTTCCAAGATCCCAAGACTTCCGACTCGTGCATGGACTGAGGAGAGAAAAGGACACCGCCTCCGCACCCTTTGAAGGTTAGTGCGGGGAAGTTGCTCGGGGTTTGTCGAAAAAACCGAAAAGGAAAAGCCAGAGATTTGGAGAAAAGCCAGGGATTTTACCATGAAAAAAATGTGGATTTACCCTCTGGTTATGTCAAACATTGCTATTGAAAATGGCCATTTATAGTGGATTTTCCCATTGAAAATGGTGATTTTCCATAGTTATGTTAGTTTACCAGAGGGTAATTGATAAGCACTTGATAGTGGAAATCAGGGAGAAAAATGTTGCAAAACAGATGTGGTTTGAAAATGTTTGAAAAAATCGTATGGCTCGGCCCATGATAGTCGGAAAAAATGCCTCGAAACAAAAGACAGTTTACTTTCTTTCTGGAATTGTCTGAACATCGAGGGTTTCTCAAGATTGAGGTCCCCAAAAAGACAACCAAATGTGTCAATGGCCATAACTTGCAGGCCCGCATTTTTTGACAAACCCATCTGTGCTTCGCCGAGCTGAGTTCGTTGCGGACAACTGTGGATGGAAATCCGGACCTGGAATGCTTCTGAAATCAGAGGTTTCAAGAGGGGTTGGCAAATGTCCGGATTCAAACATCACCCAAACAGACGATTGATGACGGTTGTTTGAAGTGGCAAAAAATCCTCAACTTTTGTTGTGGATGGGTGATGAAACAGACGGCGAAAAAACCACCGTGAGCAGGCACAGTTGTGACATCTCAAGTCAGGTATCATGTAACCTTATGAAGTGACCCACACAGATATATTTAAGTTCCGACTACTGACTACTAGTTTTTGATCTTAAACCCATAGGATCCATGTATGGTATATATGCTAAGATTGATGGTAAATGTTACCATATATGGCATACATGGATCCTATGGGAAATGATTGGTTGTATCCCCGTGTTGCGGAAGTCCACTTTTTCAGGTTCGAAACTTTTTGACCATCCGCCAGTCGTCCGGAGGGAAAATGCCCGTCCCAGCTACCGCGATGCGACAAAGCGCCCAGATGTAGAAATGGGGCGCTGGAGCAACTCCTGGAGTGTGACATGGATGACATATGGGGCATCCCTGTCAAAAAACCTCCATATTAGCGGGGCTAATTATGTTGGGTCATATCCCATGACGGATCCATGGTGCTGCCATATATGGTGCTCCATGGATCCCATCAATATACCCCAGTCATGTTAGCATTAATATACCAGCACCAGCCGGATCCGTCATGGGTATTGGGTATATGTTCTGAAACATCGCAGCTGCAATCTACCAGGGTTGGTTGATTTTTATTGTAGCAGTCGTCATGGAGACACCTCCTAAGTCATGGGATGACCATGACGACTGGTATTGAAACCTAGGGTGGGGTATCCCCCAGCACATGACTTCAGAAACCCCCACTCGGAGTCATCCTTTTTTTTGGAAATTGAGTAGACCACCTATGACTGGGATGTTGTAAAATCATGTCAAATTACCCAAACAATTACCATCAGATGGTTGAATGATACTTTCTCTTCCTGTGTGATAATGATTGTTGGAAACACCACATGGGTTGGCCTCCAGCTGGGGTAGTATTTATTCCCCATGAAAAATTGCTAAGTTTTGAGAGCCTATTTCCTGGCAAGCAGCAAGTTTGATGTTCCTCAAAATTGGGGGTGCTCCAAAACGAAGTGGTGTTCCCATTCATTTTTTTCAAATTCACAAGTTTGGATGATAAAAACTGGGTTCATCAGTTTAGGAACCTCCCAAATGAAACCCTGACATGTGGTGGGCTGGTTATGCCATGAAGCATCCGTTGATATTGGTGGTTTTCTATACCATAAACATCCATAAACTATCCCAGATGATGATGACGATGACGATGATGATTATCATGCTTATCATGATGTCCATTCATTCCCAGAATATCCAGAAAAACATATCATAATCCTATCCTGATAATGCCCATGTCATATCATGTCACACATGTTATACGTGTATGTATACAGTTGTTGTTAGGGGAATATATCAGTGTCATTTATTGTCATTATTGTCATTAGTATACATATATATCTGGTTGGTGGTTTGGAACATTTTGTATTTTTCCATATATTGGGAATGTCATCATCCCAACTGACTAATATTTTTCAGAGGGGTTGAAACAATCAACCATTTATATATATATATATATGATTTATATATGTGATGTTGAATACAACAGATGATGTGGATATATCATATCAAGCAGTCCCAGCCCTCTACACAGCTGGTGCCAGTTGCTGTCTTGGCGATCCTTTGGCACCCTGCCACTGGCCAGTTGGGGGCAGTCAGATGGAGACGTCCAGGGCAGACAGGGAGTTTGTTTTTGGGGGATTTGAGAATGTTTAAACTGGTTGGTGGTTTCAAACATGTTTTATTTTCCATTTCATATATGGGATATAATCCTTCCCATTAATATTTTTCAAGATGGTTATTGCACCACCAACCAGTAAATCACATGGGGATTCAATCATATTAAATCATGGGGCTTTCTATGGGGATAATTGAATGATTTGATTAAATCATATGAAATCCCCATGTTTTTTCTCACAGAAATCCCCATGTTTCTTTTTTTTCTGGTCATTGGTCCTATCCTCATTCTTCATGGTGAACTCAACATAGTCGTAACTTGGACCCCAAAATCCAGTGGTTTATCAATAGGGTAACTGTGGCTATTGAGATGTGGTCCATCCAATTCTTTTGAGTGTGGCTATTTCCATCTATTACCGGATTTATAGGATTTATATTATAGGGTCACTTGGTCCCAAGCCATCGTTTTTTTTTATGGTCCCCACATCATTTTTCCCTATTTTTCGATGTTTTTTTGGGGGTCCCCACACTTGATGTGATGGCCATCTTGGGATGCCCTATTGGGAATATTCATCCATGAAATCAATATCCAGAAACATACAGAATCCAAATTGGAACATCCAGAAACATCCAGAATGACTATTAAGATCAATATTGGTGATGGTCATTTTAACCATGAGATTCGGGAATAAATAAATTTAAAGGGAATGCGGTTCTTTCTGTTTTAGCCGGGTCCGGGACATTGGATATGGCTGAAACGTTACCATCGAATCACCAGGGCACCGACGATGGAAGTTGCTTGCCCCCCGAAAGCGGGGTTGATGCCGGGTGACCAATTTGGACCTATGGCACGGCACTTCCATGATTCGCAAGCTCATGATAAACGATGGCTTAAATAAGGTTCATTGATTTGCTGCTCACACTTCGGCCATAGGAATGCTGCACTGCTGCACTGCGCCATCCATAAAGATGGCTGGATTGTTTTCCATTTCATATGAATGGATGTCATCCTTCCCGACGAACTCCATGATTTTTCAAGATGCTTACCCTCTGGTAAACGAGTTTACATAACTATGGAAAGATCCACCATGCTATTAATGGGTAAAACATGGTAAAACCACTATTTCAATGGCCATGTTCAATAGCTTTTTGTATAATGTGGGGCCCCCCAGTTATAAGATGGTTTATAAACCCCATTAACTATAGTTATAAGTACCATAAACCATAGTTATTGGAGTTATAAACCAACTTAGCTATCTAGGGGGCCCCACTTTGTATGTTTAGCTATGGTGAAATTTCACCACCCAGATCTCCGTTGACCGATTCTTTGGCTCCGTTCTACACTGTTGGTCGTTGGTCACAACCTCGGGGTGGCGGAGATCGAAACGAAAAAAACTGGGGATGCCTATGGGGATACTACCCTCTGGTTATGTCAAACATTGCTATTGAAAATGACCATAGAAATAGTGGATTTACCCATTGAAAATGGTGATCTTCCATAGTTTTTTGTATGTTTACCAGAGGGTACTGTAATATTGGATGCTCCCAAAATCTCCCAAAAAAAGGGGTCCAAAAAATCTTCCTTAGGTGATTTGATGACGAAACTTGGTAGGGAGATATTTGAGGTTGATATCATGGAGCCCTCAGGATTCGTGAAAACTCGCTCTGTGTCTCACTGGAGTGGCTCAGGCCCACTTGAAACGAAGCAATGATCACCAGGAGATTCATCTTACGAAGTCAAGTTCATTGGAGAGTAAAATGTGTTTCTCCAAGGGGTACACATAAATATACATAAATCATATTCAAATCCATCAACTGGCGGAAATCGAGCTGAAGCGAAAGCATCCTTTCCACTGGCGGACGCGCCGCGCCTGTTTTTGGCGGCTTCGGATCTACGAGTTTTCTGATGTTCGGTCAGCTGAATCTTACAGCTCAAGTGAGGTGGTTTCACATATGTCTATAAATTAACTATATTTCTTGTGTTCCGTCCATGCTTTGGAAAATGTGTCATTCTTGCCTGGTGGAACCACCAGGCAGCACAGTGCGTAACATGTCACCCCAAAATGATCTGAAATGCCAATCGAGGAATGAGAATGGCTCATAAAACTTTATCACCGTTCGACATTCAGTCCGTCAAATAGAATTTCATTCAAAGTGTTCAAAGATTTCAAGATGCCAGCGTGGTAGTTGCAAGGTGCAAGGACTAGGCTTGGTAACAGGCGGCAGCACCAGCAAAACAGTGAGCGCCACGCGCCGCTACCCGCTAACCTACCACGGCCACGGCTACTGGTCACGCTTACCATTGTCAGGCAGGTAACCAGGCACGGTCATAGGCACATCGCCCAGATGTCACGCAGTTGGGCCTTAGGGCACTGCATGGCCTGAGGCCGCTGCGCAGCAGGGGTGTGTTCCAGCGGCTCTTCGACTACGTCAGGCCCTGCGGCTGTGGGTTGTGAAGCCGCTACTGTCCAACCGTTGCCCTCATCGACGAGGCCGCATGGTGGTGGCTGGAGGCTTTGACTTTTCCGAGGAAGTGGCCTTGGCCAGTTGCGAGGCTGGGGCTTACAGTGCCTATTTTCATACACAGATGATCATTGATGCAGAAACGCATGGATCACTAGGCTTAGCCAAGGCTACCTGAGTTCCATGTACTTCAGTATTTGCTGGGCCTTCCTTTACTCTTTGATTTTCGTAGATGCAACTTTCATTCTTCATTGCGGAGGATGTCCCCCTCCCCCTTTCCATTCCTCCACGGCCTCGGAGATTTCGTTCATGTAGACTTTTAACTATCTAGTTGTGAGCCAAATGCTACTAACGCGCTTGCAGCTGCTCTTCGTTGCAATCTTAACAGCAGGTTCCTACCTTTCATCCACCCCACCTTTTCAACCTTTTAGATGCATCCTTTGACATCCATATCCGTGCATACACCCATGAATCCAAATGCAAGCGTATTTTGCCGCATGCATCCATATACATCCATGTGCATCCTTGCAATCCATGCATCCAACCATCCATACATCCACCGATCTTTTCATCCAAAGTTCATAAATCAAAACATATCAAAACTGGTTGGTAGTTTGGAGCATTTTGGAACATTTTTCCATATATTGGGAATAATCATCCGAGCTGACGAACTCATATTTTTCAGAGGGGTGGCCCAACCACCAACCAGAAAACCATATCACCGCGTTAATTTCACTTTAGAACCCCATCCCAGAGAGAAACGCTGCCATCCTTTTGAAGAAACCGACGCCGCATGTGACCCTTTTGGCGACCAAATTTCGCACATTTGGGACCTTACGTGTGTTTTTTAAACGCAATGAAATTCGTTTTTTTTTGGTGCGTTCAATTTCTTAAATTCAGCATTCATGTTTCCATTTTTTTGGGTTATAAAACTGTGTTAAACATGTACCCTTTTCGGATCCATGGTGCTATATATGGTGCTCCATGGATCCCATCAATATACCCCCTTTATGTTAGCATATAAAAAACACCATGGATCCTATGGGTTATAGTAGATCTGTCATGATCTATGGTTATAGATGTTTAAAAATGAAATTGATTTCATAGATGGTATATAGATGGTTAATAGATGGTTAATAGATGGACCAGCACCATGGATCCGTCATGGGGTAACAACGGACAGGCCATTAGCATCTCTGGTCTTCTGTCCGGACAACCCGTGGTGGAGGCAGCGGCGCAGCGGCAGTTTTTCGGCACCACCGTGAAACATGTTTGGACCATTGCTGCAGATGAATTAAAAAACATGGAACATGTGGAATTTAAGCATGAAACATGTGGTTTTAACATGTTTTAACCAACAAAAATGCCGTTAGAATGAGGAGATAATGAGATATCATGGGGAAATTTGGACAAATTATAACAACGTCACTGCGATATCACTGGAAATGGTCGTTAGATGTCGTTCGTGAATCTCCCAAAATATCCCCTGTCATTGACGGCTGATCGATGTGGATGCCTTCTTGATGACCCGATGACCCTGTTGGGTCCAAACACGACCCCAAATCGATGGGTGAATCATGATATCAATACTCCCTTTTAATTTGCAATGTTTTGGGGAATGCCGCCCCAGTTTGAAGCACATTCATGTGGCAGGAAAATTGGGTTTGGGATCCAAATTCGGCGGACGTCAGGTCAAAAAACAATGAAAAAACATGGCGCACGTTTGGGCGCACGTCCATATGATTGATTCGTTTCAGTCGTGGATACATCCGAGATTTCCGTTGACCCATCAGAGTCATTGGGAAATCTTTCATCATAATCTTGAATGATGTAGACACCGAATCCACTGGTTGATCATCATCATTTTCCCAGGACCTTGGGGTGTTCACCATGGTGGTTCACCATGTTCACAGAAATCCAGTGAAGTCACCATGGTTTGATGCTTAAATCAGGTGAAAAAACACCATGTTTTTTGGCTTAAATCACCGTGGTGCTCATGGTGATTTCCTGGCAGGCCTGCCCTTCTTTGCAACGGCCAAGGGTTCGGGACCTGAGATGTACAGGGAAATGGGGGGATGAACCCTCCAAAATGATGTTGTTTTTCTAAGGAAAAAAGGATGATAAATCACTGGAGTTAGGGGTGTTGCCAGACAAACCCAATGGTTTTTGATGTTTTGGATTGGTCAATTTTGTTTGGATATCCGTGCGGGATTCCCCATTGACACCCCTCAACGACTGCTGGAGGCTAGACTCTTTTTTTGTGGGAATGGGTCCATGTTCAATCCCCAAATTGGATCAAAATGGATGAGTTACCCTCTGGTTATGTCAAAATAGCTATTGAAAATGACCATTTATAGTTGATTTTCCCATTAAAAATTGTGATTTTCCATAGTTATTTTAGTTTACCAGAGGGTAAGACTCAACATGTGATTTTTGTAGATCCATTAGGTACCCAGCCAGATCGGTAGAGTTTTCGGTTCAAATCGGGTCTGGGAAGTAGAAAACCTAAGACAAGATAAAGTTAGCCATTGATTCTTCGTATATAATCCCTCCCCCCTTATATAGCAGCAAACAACCCCTGCTATCCCCTGCAATATTGGATCTATGTTTTCTCTGGGTCAACCTGCAGAGAGGCCCAAGAATCAATGGATTGGTTTAAGTTTAAGGGAAAATTTACAGGAACGCCCCATATTTAATGGGAAAATCTATGGTTTCCTGTAGATTTTTCCCTGAAACCAACCCATTGAAAGAAAATGGGTTCTTCAAGTTTATCTGAACAATTAGGGGGATAACTTCCCAATCTGATGGTTAAAGCAAGCAAAAAAAAAACTCTGAAGCAGCACCCGATGTCAAAAAACACAGAATGGTATTTTCCCCATGCTCCGAAACCAGCCGAATGGCGAGTCGCTTTGCCAGTTCTTTGCCAGTCATGTTTGATAGTCCAAATGAATCCATCGACAAAAAAAACATATGCTCCATGTATGGAAGGTCAAAATCAAGATTTACCACCCAAAAAAATCCTAGATTCACCTAAATCATCCTAAATCATCCTAAATCATCCTAAATCTAAATGGTTATATGATTTTTAGGTGATTTTTAGGTGATATTAACATATATTAACCTAAATCGATGACCTAAATGTAGGTTTTTATCATGCCAGCACGTCTGGATCCGCTTCGCATTGGTGAAGTCTCCGAGGCCTGTCCCGGCCTGGCTGCGTCTGCTCAGGCGGATCAAAAAAATTGGATTTTGGGACTTGGGAGGAGTTCACCCCAAAAGATCTTACGCCAATCAGAAAAACACTATATGATACTATATGTATATATGATACATATAAATGGTCAATGTATATTCATTGATATGTATGGTAATAAGTTCGTTTTGATAACCATATGATTAGATACAATATGAACTACATTATAACCAGAGGAAACATTTAAAAATTAAGTTGTATGATAGTTATACATAGACATATAACTACATAGAACAGTTCATGATATACATGTGTTATTTAGTACTGAAAAGCAGTGGATAGTCCATTGATCTGAACAATATTACCCAGTTATTACCCTATACTAACCCCAGGTACTATGCCCGTACGCCAGTCAAGTGTTATTGCGCCAGTATAAAAAAGCCAGCTATTACGCAAACTATTACCATGATATAATAGAGTATATGAGATTTCTTGGTGTATTACCCACTTGATCCTTTTCTTAGTATATACCTAGCGAGATTACGTTATAGTTAAAATAGCCAATGGATGAATGTACCCAGCACTTGGGAAATCCCATTCATGATGGGTTGACCATACGCCGCAGGGTCTGAACATAGGCTCTCTGTAAATCCGGTGGCTTATGCTGGCTTATGAACATGTTCCCTATAAACATGGTAATGTACCTCTGTTTTTTAACACTTGGCTCTTGAACATCACCATGTTTAGTGGGCGAATAATCTATAAATGGATCATTTTCAACAGCAAACTGTCAAAGAACCAGAGGGTTCCCATCAAACTGGTAATGATCCACTGCTTTATGGTCTATGAAAATGGTATACCTCTCTTTTCCGCATCTTCGTTGGGATATACCCCCTATAATCAATATGGAGGTGTCTTAAATCATGGGAGATCCCCATGGGGCCCAGGCAGTACTGGCAGTGGGCGGTGGAAGCAGTATGTTTACGGCCGCCGAGGCAGGTGGAACTGTTGAACAACTAACTGGTGTTTTGAAGGGGATTTGAGATGATTTTTTGATGGGATTTAGCAAACTGACATGGGGATTTGATGGGATTTAGGGAACTAAGGTGGGGATTTCATGGGGTCTAATCAACAATATGGGTAAAACTTGATGAAACCCTGTGGCTCATCGGGTTTTGTCCAAAAACTGTTGGGATATCTAAACGCCAACGGGATCAGATTTCGATTCCAAACGGTTATTTTTCACAGTGTTTGAGTCACTCAAAAGGTGAATTCATGGGTAACCAACTAAATTTCACCATATGATCATTAACAGTGTCATGGTAACTAAATTTAACACATGTCACCAATTTCATGGTAACTAAATGATTCAATTTGAGAACACTTCTTCGGGTTCTTGGTTTGGAAAGAAAACATGCTTAGTCCTTTTGACTCCAACATTGCTGCAACATCTTCTAACGTCTGTAGGAAACTACAGTATCTGGATCTTAAAATAGGGTATTTGTTTACAGATATTTTACTAATTATTTAGTTTATGTTTTCCAGAAGTTGGCTAAAAATGCCCTTCACAAGGCCATATCCAAAAAGGTAGTCAAACATGGCCATTGACAATCTCCTAATGGAAGTTTTCATGGGAACATCATCGAACCAAAAAAAATGGTGGATGTTGCATTGCCACGTTTGATGACACCGGAGGTTACTCCCAATGATGGCAATGGAATATGTGGAAAATGAATGAAAACGATGTGTTTAATCAGGAATTTGGAAGTTTTCCCATGATTTTCAGATACCAAAACCATTTTCACATTAGATACCTGGAAATTTCTGCGGAACATGTCAACCTCCGCCGGTTTGTGACAACTCGGAACCGCAGAAGCTGCAGAAGCTGCAGGAGAAGTTCGGTGGATCTCTCGATGGTTGTTGGCTTTTAACTATTTCTTTGATAGTTTCTATAGTTTATAACATTAAAAAAGTTAGTTTATCTACTGTGTCTATAGGTGTTTATCTACTGTTTCTATTGTTCAACTATCTCAATCAATCATTTAGTTCGATGATTTTCCGAACTAAACCTCCATTCACTTGGGGGATTTCCATGCAAACAAGCCATGTTTGATGTTACCATTGCGGGGCCGAACTTCAGCCAGGCATTTTCCAGTGTCGAAGTCTTACCCTTGGGAGCACAGCAGGCGGGGTGTTCCAAGCCATGGGCAATTCGTTGATGAATGGTAACTTGGAGGTGAACACAGCTTGTGGTTTACAATATGTAAAAACTGGAGATATTCCATTGATCCAAGTAGTAACCTTATAGTGGAACTTTATAGTAAAACCATGTAAAACCTTACTTGAATATTGCCCAGTTTTTACCCTATACTAGCATTTATTACTATATAATATGTAGTCATCCTGGAGTACATAGAATTTAGACTTTTCAAACATTCCTCACTAAACTAGGGAACTATGTTTGAAAAAACATATTCTATCTACTTCTGGAGATTATATAATATTATATATAGACATACGTTACAATCCACTTGATAGTTCTTGATAGTACGTAACCAATAGTTCAATGGTTGTTTCTATAAGTGGGTAACAACCAAGGATAAGATCACCACGTATATGCATGTGATGTAGCTTATATGTATATACTATACATAGCTGGTGATGTTACCTTGGTCATTTTCACGCGCATCACCGGCACCCAGTGGCTCGCTGGGCCTTCGCTCAAAAAGCCCGGGAACCTGGATGGGCTGGATGGGTTTGGGGCTAACTGCCAGTTGTAGTGGTTCCAGTTGTAGAGGTATATAACTACTGTAGTTATATAACTTATACGTATAACTATAGGTATATACCTATAGTGATACCTATAGCTAGTACTTCTATAACTCTTTTGTTGGTACAATAATAATAAACAATAATAGTGTCGTTTATACCACCTAAAAACTATAGTAATGTGGTTAAAACAATGCCATAAACTATCCATTTGGGAATGGTAAACATACCACCTCTAAAAATGATGATTTGGGGGATGGTTTATGATTGTTTTACCCACATTATAGCTATAGGCTATAACTATAGGTGATGTAACTCTAATTTTCAGTGATATTAAATCATTTGGGTGATATAACTATTGAACTATAGGGGGGCCCATATTCCCAATGTATGGTGATTATATCCATGGTTTTTACCAATACCCACAGCCTCCATAGCAAACTGCAACGGAACTGTAACTGCCGGAAAATTGGTACTAGATGAGTTGGTGTGCCTCAAAATGGGGATGTGGACCTCACCCGACCAATTTTCGAAGAATTGGATACTGGGCATATGATAAGCTGTGGAGACCTGACAAAAATGGGGTTGCAAAACCAAGAAAACTGCTCGGGTTAAAGTTGACTTCACCAAGAAAAACACGGACTGGACCCAGAAAAGGACGGATTTGGGGGCAAAGCTAGGAATACCACCCGAAAAATACTGTAAGTGTCAGTGGAAAATGTGCGGATATATAGTATACAACGATATCCAACGATACATAAATGGTATGCATATAATGTATATATATATATTGCTATACATACTTAGATATATATATATATAATATACATAAGGTTCTTGATAGGATCATAGCAGTGTAAAAGTATCCCATCCAAGTGGATTTGTCTTTGTTTTATGAATGGTTACAGCCATGAACCAGGAGAAAACACACGGCTGGGGATCAGTCATGAGCGATGGCAGATCTTTGGAAACATTATATAACCTCCCAAAAGATGGAAGAGCAAAGATCCTAGTAAAGTAGTGATTTAATATGTGTATATATATATATACATACATACCTACCTACATACATACATACATATATATATATATATTCCCATCGTTTGGGGCTTACTGAAATTACTGAAAAAGATCCTTTTGTGAAAATGCGGCATACTTTCTTCGACATCCTTTGCTGCCAAGGCCCCGCTGTGCGGCCGGAGTTTGTGTTCCGCAGCCCAGGGATCGGAAATAAATGGATTTCTTTTGATTCATTGAAACAATTTGAAGCTTTATTTTACTGAAATATCCATTGAAATAAACTCATTCAAATGAAATAGACTTAAGCTCATTCTTTGAAAGTCTGTTGATTTTTACTTTTTGAGATGTTGGTCTGCAAATTGTAGAAACAATAGTTTGTTTGGCAACATTTGGGTGTGGCCTGAAAAGGTCCATAGCGACCCCAGAAACGATAGAGAAAAAGTAAGTTCCTACTAAAATGTTGGCAAATGAATTACTTGTTCTACCTTTTTGGTGGTTACTATATAGAGTGTGTATATATATATATATACATATATCATAATATATCATATATATATATACGGTTTCTTGTATATGCGGTATATGCGAAGATTCCGGTAGCCATTTGTTCTTTTTGAAACATCATTGCAAGTAGGGGTATTATATATGGTATTGTTGCATACCAATTTTCATCAAATTTCTACTAAACCGAATGGACGGTTTTGTAGTAATGTCAACCCTGGATTAATAAACCCCTAGGCTGTTTAATTGGGGGGGTACCAATTAAGTATCTGGAAGTTGCAAGTGCTCGGAACTGTGGGCTGGCTTTTGGAAGCGGTTTTTAATGACATTTCGCTCCTGCGAATGAATCGAAGGAGCACCCTCCGCAGAACTTCGCATTGCGGAAGATTGCCTTTTTTTATCCGAAAGACCCATTTACATCCAAGGTAGTGCAAATACATGTGTTTGAAAGTGTCGCGTACAACCCCAATCTGTCGCATTTCAATCGTGAAAAATTATGTTCCCAACTCTTAACCATTGGATTTTTGGTGGTTTTCAGATGTTTTCAGATGTTTTTCAACGAAAAAAAACATGTTCTTAACTCTTCACCACTGATTTTCCCACATATTTCAGGTAAAACATGGTAAACACCATTGGAAATCTTCCAATGTTCAGGTCAACCATGGCAAACCCAAGGGATTTTTCCACCTCACCGGCCATGGTTTCCCGGTTGACAGCGCCGAAGGTCACCGATTCAGGGCACGCCTTTGCGGTCAGTGGCTATGCCGGCAACGAGATGTACGAGGCGATGGAACCGAGGTGGTTATTGGATCACTGGAATTTACCATGGATAAACCATTTATGGTAGATCTATGGTTATAGATGTTCAAAATGAAATCGATGGTTAATAGAATAATAACCTCCATTTAACATCTATAAACCATGGTTTCTATAAACCGTCCATGGATAAACCATCTTAATAATGGTTTAGAAGCATCAATGGGAAAGTTTCCCAACCCGCTGGATGAAAGATGTAAATTCTGGATTAGAATTATTATTGGATGGTTTCCATATGGTTCCATTACCCTCTGGTAAACGTTTACATAGCTATTGAAGCCATGGCCCAGTCGAAATAATGGATTTTCCCATGATTTTCGCATGGTGGATCTTTCCAGTTCGTTATGTAAGCGTTTACCAGGCCGGGTACCATCTGGAGTCCTCAAAGATGGGCTGTTTTTTTTTGGTTGAAATTCCCCGTTGATGTTGGATGATTTTGCCATAAAATCCGCGAAATTTCTGTAGGAGATTATTCCCGTTGTTTGATGACCGGAGGGTAAGTATGGAAAGTTCAGATGTGGCCTTCATCAAACATGATTTCACCAAGCATTTCGAGGGAGATATAGGCAAGAATCTGATGTGTGTCTGAAAAGAAACATCGATTTTCCCGGCTAAAAATGAATGATCCCCTGCTTTCAAACACCCAAATTTCAAAGATAGATAAAAATGATAAAAAAATGATGGTTTAGTGGTACAACACAGATCATGGAATAATGAAACTGCGGTAAGACACAAAATTCCGGCCATTAGATCATTGGGGAAATGATGTTCGAAAATTCAAAAGCATGGAATGTTGAAGTTCCAATTTTTGAGACAAATCAACGACTTGTCTCATGCTTGGATTTGAGTGAAACGCCCACCCCCGTTACATCCGAATTTTTGTTGATTCAAACACAATCTCTGCACATATGGCAGTGGGTCAAAACCAATAGTACCCCTTCTGTTCACATCAAGTCATAGCTGGGATTTATGGATGTGAATAACCCACTAAAAATGGTATTTTTATAGGTATTGACCCATAGCCATATGATAAATCTATTAGATCTCCATTGTCCAAATGCAATTTCTGCTGACAAATTCCTTCTTCCCCTTTTCTTGATATACTCGGTTTGTTGGTAAGCCAAGACTTCCACAACTGTGATTTTTCCTAGTTCAAAAGCAGTGAAACATCCTAAAACATCTCAAAACATCGTAAAACCCATCGTTTTTTCATGGTTTTTCCTAGGTTTCAACCACTTCAAATCCCACAAAAACGGCAGCCGTACGGCATGACCGGAGACCTTTTCTCAGGCGTCTGTGGAGTGGCTGGACCTCTCGTCCGAGGGCTTGCGGAACGGCTGGCACTTTGGGCCCCAGCTATCGCAGGCGCGGTGAATCGGGGGTGGTGAAAATGATGGTTAACCATTTATGGTAGATCATGGTAGATCTATGGTTATGGATGGTTATGGTATTATATGGTATTATTGTATACCAATGTCCATCAAATTTCATGATCTATGGTTATAGTTCACTTTTGGGATTTTCCACTATAAACTATAAACCATCTATTTTTAGAGGTATTTCATTTACCCATAGGATCCATGGTGCTGCCATATATGGTAACATGGATCCCATCAATATACCCCAGTCATGTTAGCATATACCAGCACCATGGATCCTATGGGTTATGGTAGATCTATCATGATCTATGGTTATAGATGATATATAGATGAAATCGATTTCATAGATGGTTTATAGATGGTTAATAGATGGTTAATAGATTGTTAATAGATTGTTAATAGATAAACCACCGATAAATAACATTAAATAACCATCTATCGGTGATAATCAAATCCATTTAACATATATAGATGGTTAATAGATTTAATAACCTCCATTTAACATCTATAAACCATGGTTTCTGGCAAAACCTCCATGGATAAACCGAATCCAAATAATGGTTTAGAAGCATCAATGGGAAAACCCCGACCCGCTGGATGGTAGATGTAAATTCCTATGGATTAGCATTATATAGATGATTTCCATTGTTTCCATTATAGATTAGAGGTACCCCCCATTCAGGATGGTGAATCGTTTATGGAAACCTTTGATCTAATCGAGAGGGTGTTTTTTCTTATGGATTTATAATCAGAGGTTTCCACAAATGGTTGAATCTTTGATGGTCAAGGATTAGAGGTTTCCATAGTCATGGGGCGTACCTCATTTATGGATCGTTTATAAATGTTCATAATGTAAATTCCGAAAATGAAGTGGTCTTGGGGTAGCCCTATTTCAACCTCCAGATATTTACAAACGAATCCCTCAATCTTATGTGGTTTATAAATGTTTATACTGGTGATATTTGATATACTGTTGAATGTATTTTATGATATGTTTACAAACCTAGGTATTTTATGATATGTTTACACACCTGGGCAGCTGTTGAGTCGGTCAATTCGGCAAATATTTTTCCAAAAATTGAACGTTCACCATGACTGGAGACAATCTATGGTGACTTTATGATATTTTATGATATCATAATACTTTGGCATTGTTTTAACCACAATAACTATAACTGTATATAACCAGTATACAGTAACATGGTAACCATCATATCATAACCATTAATCAATATTGAATATCAAAATACATTGGTTTAGTATGGGATAATGAATGATAATGATGTTGAATGATGGTTAATAATGGTTAATATATACGGGTTGGTGGTTTGGAAACATGGAATCTTATGACTTTCCATATATTGGGAATGTCATCATCCCATTTGACGAACTCTAATATTTCTCAGAGGGGTAGGTCAATCACCAAGCAGAATACTTTGGCTGATTGTCCCAATGACTACAGTAATTGTCATAGTTTTTTTGGGGGACCCCTTGAGTAAATCCCTTTGTGAAACTGATGGTGAACCCCTGTGAAAGATGGGGATGTTTCATGAGTTTTGCATCAAATATAAAGGTGATTTAGTCCATCTATAACTGGTTGGTGGTTTGGAACATTTTTTATTTTCCCCAATAGTTGGGATGATGATCCAATCTGACTACCATCTGGTTATTTAACATAGCCATGGAAAATGGTCCATTTATAGATGGTTTACCTATTAAAAATGGTGATTTTCCATGGCTATGTTAAATAACCAGATGGTAATATTCCTCAGAGGGGTAGGTCAACCACCAACCAGCCAACCAGAAGGTGATTTTTCGGGGTGCCAAATGGCGATGCCTTTGCAAAGCGCGGCAAGTGGTGAATGAAAAATTGCTTCTGACTTTCTGACTTGGCTGTTAAGAATGCCATATGAAGCATATTACATGGTCATTTCACCATGCAAAGATTGAGATGCATAGAAAAAATGTGAAACAGTACCACTCAATTCAGCACATTTTTGGTATCGCAGCTGTGTTTCAATGGGACAAAATCAGTGACCTCCGTCAGGTGTCTTTGTCAAAGCACCCCAAGGGCTTGGCAGAAAATTGGCCCATTTACAGATCAAAAGCTATAAAGATCCATTCACTGAGTTTACTCAAATCATCTCAAATCTATCTTTCTGTGGGCTGCTATAACTGTATATGTGTATTATTGTGTATTTACCATACTATAGCACCCCCCCAAAAGTCAGATAGAAAAACTTTTTTTTGTTCGATGTTCGTTCGATGATTTCCACCAATCCGATGATTTCCGATGATTTCCGGCTGTCCAACACATTGTTCTACCCTCTGGTTATTTATCACTTCCATGGACAATGGCCCATAGAAATAGATGGTTTAGCGAACTAAGACATGGTGAATTTCCCTCGGTTAAATAACCAGATCGTATCTTTTTGGATCTTTTTGGTGGTTACCCTCTGGTAAACTAACATAACTATGGAAAATCATCATTTTTCATGGGCAAATCATCCATTTTTATGGGGATTTTCAATAGCTGTGCACGAGGCCCGAGCAGGTTGCGCTGCTTGCTTTGGTCCCGATGGCTGCGTCGCTTCTTCAGTGTGAAATTCTCCAGCGAATTTATGGGATTTTCATGGGAATTTCATGGGAGTGTGATGACTGAATGAATCGAAAAATGATGATTCAACCGTGGGGTTTTCATGGAATTTTATGTGAGCTAAATGGGGAGTTTGATGGGATGTTAAACAGGGGAGTTTGATGGGATTTTCGTTGGGCTTTTGCTGGGATTCAATGGAAACTTGCAGGGGAAACTTAATCATCAAATACCTGACGGTTGATTGGTTATGAAACATGCTTTGATTTGTCAGGGGGAATCGCCCTCTGTGACAGGTTTATGGATGGACAGAATGGGATAAGCGGGATGATTGATAAACGATAGTTGATTGGTTATGAATACGGAGCTATACTACCTGGGTTATTGGGCATAATGAACTAGGCCATAGTAGGGAAAGCTATTATATAACCGACGAGTATAATGAGATGAGACATGGGTATCTTTAATCGCTCAATTGAGGTAAGGAACATAGTTCTTAGCCCCAAAAAAAAGCTATAGAGTAATCATAGGCAAATGACTTGAGAGGGATGAGTCTATGATACATTGATGTGTAAAATGACGGATCTTGTGGGATTTAAGAGGATATTTCAGCAACAGAAATTGATGATTGTCCGGTGAATGAATGGGACTTAGACCCATTTTTTAGAATCATCCCTGGATGAGACTAAACCCTGGTGGATTAATAAGGATGGGTTTAGGGTCAGTGGATTCACTACCAAACTTGGCGACCCCACAAGTTCATGTTGAAGTTCACGATCTGATCATGTTGCCGACAAACTGATTTGTTCATGAGCAACGAACAGGAGGCGATGCAATCAAAGAAGGAACACGGAATATCATAGCTCAGACTCATATATCCAACCAAGCATATCAGAATGAATTTTGCTGGAGTCTGTATCTGAGTACCGATAAAGCATACAGTATCACATCAGAAAAAAACATATTCAGAAAGGATCAAAAAGATGATCAATAGAAAGTTGATTCAATGACTGCCATTCCTGGAGTTGATTCAACAATCCAAAAACATCCCATGAAGCAAATCCATGAAATTATTTGAAAATCATAAAAATCCATGGATTTTACATCCCCCAAACAATCTTCAAAATCCCAGAAGTCCATGAAACAAAACATACTCGTAACAAACCAATCAACAAAAACAAAGCAATCTGAGCAATCTCAAAAAAAAATGTCCATCCGAAAACATCCAACATGTTTCGGGGCTTAAGATGCCTGGCGACTGGAAATGACTGGAACTTCTCCAGGTTTGGGTCCTGGGTGGTGGCTGTGACGAGTCCGCCTCCTTAGTGTCTTGGCCGAAGCTGGTTGGTTGACCTGGAACATGCCAAGCGTTTTCGGGTAAAGTCCTTTTTTTTAAGTCCCAAGTCGTTGTCGCTTATAGTACCCTCTGGTAAACGTTTACATGTTGAAATAACTATGGAAAATCACCATTTTTTATAGGCAAATCATTCATAAACAGGAATTTTCAATTGCTACTTGATGTAGTTTACCGAAGGGTAAGCCACAAAAAAAGATGAGTTTTCGATCTGTAAGAGTAATTGGTTATAGTAACCCTGGTGATCGTAAGTCCCCGATGAATGAACTAACTATGGTTATTAACTAGTTACTAAGCCTAATAAGATCATTACAACCCTCATATTAACCAGTTAAGATGGGTATCAACTACATAACTATGCTTCTTCACATGGGATAGGTTTCTGCTTACTAAGTAAATATCAAGCTGTATATCTATGGGATAACTATGGTTACCACAGAACTCACTATATGGTTCTTCTCATGGACGACCGTGCCAGTCGAGGACACAGTGGAGCGCTTAGATCCTCGTGTGGGACGTTGGCAGGAGGTCGGCCAGAAATATGGGTTTCACCAGCGAAGAATGAGGGATTTCACATGAGCCATTAAAAATACCATAGAAAATACCATAGTTGATAGGTCATTGGGGATTATACTATCTGGTTTAATGGGGATTATAATACACATTAATAAACCACAATAGGGATAACTACTAACCAACCAGTATAATGGGATGGGATAGGGGTATTTTTCATGGCTCACATGGGTTTCACCTGGCTTAACTGGTTGAACCATGAAACAAACTAGGAAAACATGCTGGGTTTAACTTGAGGATGGGACATGGATCAAATGTCTGTGGCCTTGTAATGGGTGCTTATGAGAGCAATCACTATGGGAGGGTTACCCATGGTTACCCTCAAAATTCTGGCATTCAAAAGGTGGGTTTAGTCATGAACTGGTGATATTTATCGGGGTTTACCCTCTGGTAAACTAACATAACTATGGAAAATCACCATTTTCAATGGGAAAATCCACTATAAATTGCCATTTTCAATAGCTATGTTAAATTACCAGAGGGTAACAGTTTAACCATCAAACATAGGGTTTACCGATGTGTGATACCTAGAGGACGGAGTATTTGGAGAAAATCGACAATGTCATATGGCGATTGATAGTGGAGATGTATAACTCATCCCCGAGTCAAGTGATCACTATAGTAATCGGATATTAACCATGGAAAAATATGAGGATACTAGAATTGTTCAATGATTTTAATCTATGTTCATGGCCAGAGTAATTCAATGATGCAGTGATCAGTTTGTTCATAGAGCCATCCCATTGCTAATTAAATCACAGGAGGATATTCAATCGGACCTTTTTTTTGGAATACCCCACGATTTAGCAATGGCTGGTGATTCTCATATTAAGGCGAAGGGATCAAAACCTTTCTTGAGGGTACAGCAAGGATTATGTGTAACGCTTTCACGGGATCGCCCTCCAGTGATCTATGACATAGCTACCGAACAGTAGTGGCGCGTTGAACAGAAATTCAATTGCCAATATGCTGCTATTGTGCGATCAACAAGGAAAAACAATTTTCTGTAACAATGAGAAAAGGTTTCAACATGCAACAAGTACCATGCAAATTGCAGCTGCGCCAAGATGCAGCGATCCAAGGTTTTCAAGGCCCAACATGTCGTAAATTTAGCGACCAAAGTGTGGCGATTTTAGCTCCAAAATTGGTCCAAATTAGCGATTCTAGCATGCATATTCTAGTTCCAAAGTGTTGCAAATAGCCTGCGAATAAAAGATTCAGCTCGAATATGCAGCAAATAGAATATTTTAGCTCCAAAATCCAGCAAATAACCAGAAAAGTGCCCAGATTGAAAAGCAAAAGAACACTGTACTTTGAACTCATCCTGGTGTGAACCTCAAGTAGTTTCCCCGTAAATTGTTCATAGTTAATTCCATGCAATTTCTTGATGTTTCCGATGGTTCAAGAAGCTCAATCCCGGTCAAAATCCTCAGTTGTCAATGGGTGAACTCTCCATTTTGATGGTTACGTAAGTCCCAACCTCTGACTATAATAGATTGGTTTTCAGGGGAAAATCTTCACCGGAAACCATGGATTTTTCCATGAAGATCATGGGGGGGTCCGGTGAAAATTGTCCCGTCAAAACCAATCCATTGATAGTGAACACTTTTGGGATTTTCCACTATAAATCATCTATTTTTAGGGGTATCCCATTTCCAATGACGGATCCATGGTGCTGCCATATATGGTGCTCCATGGATCCCATCAATATACCCCAGTCATGTTAGCATGTATACCAGCACCATGGATCCTATGGGATTTATAATCCAAACTTTTCTCTTACTTCTGGGATTTTCCACTATAAACCATCTATTTTTAGGGGCATCCCATTTATGGAAACCCCCAGTGAACCCTCAGTCGCCTCCCTCCGTAGGCGCCCATAATGCCCGGCCGCCGACGCTGCTTTGCCGCCAGCTTCGGCGTCGACCGTCCCTTGACGCACAGAAAAACCATGGGTTTTGTAGGGTTTTCACATGTTTTCACCATCAAAAATGGGGATTTTAACCATCAAAAATGGAGAGTTAAGCATTTGAAAATAGGGAACCATTTGAATATGGGGATTTTAACCATCCGCACTGGGGAGTTGACCAAGAATCTGGTTCGTTGTTTCACTCGGATTTTTTCCAAAAATCGCCAGTTCGGCACCGATGTGGCACAGGTGTTTGGTGATTTTCCCGTGAATGTGTTTATATGTTTTTATGGATTAGTTGTTTTTTTGTTGGAATTCTGGTGATTCTATAGTTGCTTCCTATGATTTCAATGTGCCAAAAGGCAGTACTCGGATGGTATTTACGTAACACAACGGAGCCCACAGGAATTTTTCAGCAGCTGTTTTCTCGGAAACCGGTTGGGGGAAATCCTCAATTTCTGACCGGGGTGAATTTCAGATCCGAAGTTGACATCAGCCATGTTGATTAAGTATTCTGTACATATGTACATATCTGATTGGTGGTTTGGAACATGTTTATGACTTTCCATTCAGTTGGGAATGTCATAAGCCCAACTGACGAACTCATATTTTTCAGAGGGGTAGGTATACCACCAACCAGATTACATATATATATATACACATAACTATACATACATATACATACTACAAGACTCTAGACTTGGATTTGAATACACCCATGATATATATATATATATATAGTACATTATATATATATACAGAGGGGTGGCTCAACCACCAACCAGCTAAGTAACTAAGTATGATAATCAATGGGATTAGACCATATTAAACCATACCAACCAGATTATAATACCATATTTGGAAAGGATGAACATCCACAGAACATCCATAAATCGCTTTTCTTTGGGGTGAACAGCGCAGAGCATTCCATGGCTTTTAAGATCCTACGAGGTGAGGGTTTCCCAGTGATGTCTGTTGCTTGAAAAGGACCCCGTTATAACTCTAGTATTACTATAGTTATATCATGTTAAGTTAATAGTTATATCTTGTGTCTGGCCCATTGTCTGTAACAGTTTTCACAAGCTAGAGCACGATTTTTGCACGGAGGAAAACACCAAAGAGCACGATCTAGAGCACGATTTTTGCACGGAGGGGAACACCAAAACAGCACGATTTAGAGCACAATTTTTGCACGAAAGAAAATGGGAAAAATGCATGAAATTCCTTGTGCTCCTTTTGAAGAGGTTTTCATAGGACATCCATTTTCCGACTGTTACAGAGGTTAGGCTACACCCAAGTTATATCATATTATATCATGTTACTATCATGTTAATATCATGTTAATATCATGTTATATCCCCCATAAACATCCATAAAACCCAATGAACCAAGTTACAAGCCTCAAGTGGTGGTGTTTTTTCAGCATTTGCGGCTGGAGCTGCTGACGTTTTCGGCCTTCGGCCTCAGGCAAACTCTACATTTATGGTGCGACGACTCAGTGAAGGGAGGGACCCCAGAAAATATGGGATTACCTGGTAGTTTTCAAGACGTTTCAGATGTTTTATTATGTTTCCCCCCCAAAAAAACCAAGGATATATCATAAGAATCCATGGTTCCATTCCAATCACATAGGTCATGATCTTTGGGACGGGAAACGGCGAAAAAAACGGGCGCAAAATTCCGAATAATCCGGGAGTTGGTTCTACGAGTTCTACGCTGATTTCACAGGTTGATCCCCAAAAGAGCAATCAAATACTGGGAAAAGAAGGTTTGAACAAGAACTGCTTGGTGGTTTGGAACATTTTTTTGTTTTTTCCATATATTGGGAATAGTAACCCCAACTGACGAACTCAGATTTTTCAGAGGGGTTGAAACCACCAACGAGGGAATTGAATTGGATCGTCCAAGCCATTTCTGAACTGAGGTCTCCCTGTGTTTTTGATGGGACAACGCATGGGTCAGTTTTCGATTTACGAAGCAGTCATCTAAGTGTATCCAAGTCAGGGTAAGTGTATGCAAGTCATGTAAACCTGCCATGGAATCCCCATATTTGTTGGTACCCTCTGGTAATTTGTCACATAGCCATGGCCCAGTCGAAATAGTGGCTTTACCCATGAATAGCATGGTGGATCTTTCCAGTTCGCTATGTTAATTTACCAGAGGGTATATCTACCATAAACCCCACATTTCACCATGGTAGTGAATGATACATCTACCATCATCTACCATAAACCTGCCATGGAATCCCCATATGTTGGTGTTTTGTGGTGCTAAGAAAACTCAGAGATTGCAGAGGCGGCTGGAACCGAGAGCGATGGCACGAAGACTCCGCGGCACGCCTAGATCTCCGAAATCTCTGCTGGGAGACCCAGTTTTTCCGCCGATTCCCGGGACAGACCATCCCCAAGTCATCCCCAACGTTTAAGGTCGGTTGGCCAGGGTCGCCCAGAAAAATCCAGATGGAAATCTTCGACATCGAACATGTTTTTTATTCAGATTATATATTATAATATATATTAATATATTATATATCTAATGCATATATAATGCATATATAATGAATATATAATGAATATATATATATATACATTCTCATTGGTTTTAGTGCTACCCCCATTAAGTATTCCATCTATCCCCAACGTTCGGACATGTTGGGGATGGAATTATGAAATCTGCACCATGGCCATGGCCAGGAGTTGTAAACAAGTAGGGAAAAACCATGGTTTTAACCATGGAAAGCATGACTCATATGATTAATATGACCCATTCTCGAAGAAAAAATAGACCTCTAGTTCTTCAAGGTTTGGTATTGGATCTTTGGGGGGCGACAAGGGGCAAATTCCATGTTAGGGAAAAGGATTGCCAGACATTGTGATGCCATTGTGATGCCATAGCAATGGAAAATGGCCATTGAATTAGTGGATTTTCCCATTGAAAATTGTGATTTTCCATTGCTATGTTAAATTACCAGAGGGTATACAGTAGTCCATGGTATTCCCTCATTTTTTCACAGCCATAATTTTCAATTGGTGAAATCCTCAATGTCGAAGTTCACACTGCAGGATGGTTTTTCATCAGTTTCATGTGGAAAGTCATGGTTCCTTTAATACCAAGATAACATAAGAGGATCATAAAAATTGTTATGTTTAATATCTAAACAGGATAAATCTTTAAACTAAACAGGATAATAATAAACATCCATTGTCATGTTGAACATCATATCTCCATAAATTGGCGCCAGGTTGGGAAACTTTGCCGTCTCCCATGGGAGAGGCCGGGCCGGGAGGGTTCCGATGGGAAGGCCAGTGATGAAGATACCCGGCCTGGTAAACAGTTGATTTACCCAGCTATAAAATGGTGGATCTTTCTAGTTCGCTATGTTAAAATACTGGAAACATCCGATTGGTCTACAGGACAAATTTAACCAGAACCCCCCCATGATCTTTTCATGGGAAAAACCCATGGTTTCCGGTGAAGATTTTCCCAAGAAAACCAATTCAAGTAGAAATTGTAGAATAAGTATTTTTGTCGGATGAGGATCCCACTATGAACATCAGATTGTTGTTTTTTTTTCTCGAAAATAGTTTACCCCTAAACCCCTATGGTGATCATTGTCCCTTCGATTTCCCTTGAATGGCAATGATTGGAGCTTTTTGGCTCATTTCCAGACACATCCGTGGTTGGTAATCAAACATCCATGGCTGGACAAACCATTTAGTTCTTTCTGTGTCCCTTTTTTGTTTCATGACCTGGCCATTCAACTCCTGAAAAATGTGCTTTCGATTTTCAATTGCCAAGTTTGATGACATGTTTGATGACACCCAAGGGTGCCATGTTTGTTTTTGGATGTGTTTCTTGTGCGATGACTGTCTTGAAACGCCCAAGTCACACCCAAAATTGGACTGAATGACGCGGCGAGATGGTTCTGCGGTTTACAGCTTTATGATTCATGGAAAACATAGTGGAACTTTGTTGCCATTCAATGTTTCATCCTGTTATTGGTGATATTGTGTTTTCCAATGTTGGTTTTGGGATGTTTGGGGATATGTTGGTCAAAACATGATGTGTGAATGTTTGTGAAGATATCATTAAGTAATCATTCTTATGCTCTCCAGTTTCCTACTACCGATCCCACCAGTCTTCTATCGGATTTGATTTTCAACAAGGGTGGCCACGATTTTCACGACATACTGAGAGTAGATGTGTATAAATATGTGGTTCAGTGATAGCATACTCCCGCCCGAAGGCCAGGCTACATATTCTTGTCATGATGAAACCACCAATCAGGTCAGTCAACGAGTATTGTTCTGCAGATCTTAAAAAGCTTCCATCCCCCAAACTAACAAATCGACCCTGCCATGACTTGGGGTTTGGAAGACTACGGTCATCATCGTTTAAAAGTTGGCTATTCCCCAGGGTCAACTTGTTCGTTGGTGGGATGGTAGCCCTCTAAATGAAGCTGTGTATGAAAATGAGGTAGATCGGTATATCCCCCCCCAAAAGAATAGGAAACATGTTGGTCTGCCAGTGGATTGAGGGTAGTACCATATAGGCTACTTATTTGGAGAGAAACCCGTATGCCGGCCATGACATCAGGCAGACAGCATCATTCCTTACCACTTTGTCAGCGGTTGCACTGCCCTCTGACGGCCGAAAGGGAATGGATTTGTTGGTCGTTCCGAAACTGGAGGCCAGTTGACACAGATGCACATGTGCATGATGCTTATGAGTATAAGTATATGATTATGATTATAATTACAATGACACACATATATAATATACATAATATATATATATATATATATTATAGGCATAATACACATACACACTCGTGTGTATGTTAGCATGTATACGCATACCGCTATGTATGTCTATTACTACTTTTACTTGAAATATGCAATTTATACGTTCCATTATCTTTGCATTTGATCATCATTCTGTTCAGCGCTTTCCCATCACTGGCTTGGTAAAATGGGAGATCTAGAGGAAACCAGCCAGATGTTACCAGCCAAGTTATTGGTGCTTGCAATATGTCTTTGTCTGATAAGGTACCCACGAAATTGGATCGTTTATCAATGTTTGTTTTTGTTTATCATCACATACCATCACTCAAATGGTTATTTAATATACATACCATCACTCATATGGTTATTGGGGTATATATATTTTGGTAATATCCCTATTTTTGGACCATTACCAAACAAAAAGTTGGGAACCTTTCAACAACCATCGCTTTCGCCGACATGACCAATCCATGACCAATCCGTTCGTCCTGCACAGCAGGGGCCGTGGCAGGAGTGACTTGGCGTTTGTACAATACAACTGTATACTTTTAGTGATACAAGTATAGCTACTATATACAGTATATATACATATACATATGTATATAATTATATATATACACATATTTTATGAATGTGAAATCTAATCAGTACTATTTTTTTAACAAATTTTATCATAGCTATTCACATGTTGATTCACTGGAGGGTAGCAACCCACGACCCCTGGCAGCCTGGACTCTTAGCACCACGTTGGAGTGGTCGTTTCAACGACGGTCGCGTGGTGAAAACCGTGGTGTTGCGTGGATGACCTCAGGTGGTGTTGCAAGATGTTACCCCATTACCCATAGGATCCATGTATGCCATATATACCAGCACCATGCATCCTATGGCTTAGTAAGGGTTAGTGTGGTGATACTGGTTGAAATTTCATGAATTTTCATGGTCCTTGATGGTTGATGGTTGATGGTAATATATATTTTTTTTTTTACTGAGTTCATTCATATACCCTGTGGTAAATGAACTTGTCGAGCCTGAACATAGTCATTGGTAGATGGTGATTTTCCGATGGAATTTGCAAGGGATTTCAAAATGAAAAGTGGTGATTTTTCATGGGATCTAATGGGATTTAGTACCATCTAATGTGGTTAAAACAAGGTCATAAACTTACCACAGAAATGACTGGGAATGGTCAACGTTTATCCCACCTATTGCTGGATGTTGGACCCAAAAGTGGAGACCCAAAACGCGCTCAACTGGGGCCACTACATTCAACCAGAAAAAAATCGAGGGCATTTACTGCTAAAAGGCAAGGGATGAAAGGTATATTATGATTTAGTATAATCTCTTATACTTGGAAAAAAATAATGAATGCTTGAATAGTAGATTATAATACATTATATATCATCTCTTATTCTTGGAAAACAATGAATGCTTGATTGTTTTGGTTTCCACTCATGTGTTTTGAGTCTTCCGTTGTAGTGTTAGAGAGAGAGAGAAAGAGAGCGAGAGAGAGAGAGAGAGACAGAGACACAGACAGAGACAGAGAGGGAGAAGGCAGTTACCCGATGCTCTAGCAATCATTGTGAGTACAGCTCCCATGGGAATGTGTCAAGATATTGAGTTCATTTTTTTGTCCAAGAAGTGTTTTTTTTGACAAAAGACCGATTTCCGGCGGAAGTATCAAAGATAGGAAACCTATAGGAGAGGTTTGTTGTTGTGATGCATGGATGTCAGCGCGAACCCACTGGTGGACCGAAAAGTGGCTGAGTCTCTGAGTCTCTCTCTCTCTCTCTCTCTCCATCTATATCTTTCTTATCCTTATTTTATCTATCTATCTGTCTATCTGTTTATTTGTCTATCTGTCTATCACCCTATCTAGCTATCTATCTATCTATCTGCCTATCTATCTTTCTTTCTATCCATCGATCTATCTATCTATCTGAAAGGAAGCAATTCTGCGAGACTTCTTTCAAAAGTGTATCGATCGATCTTTCAGTCTTATCTATCCATCCATCCATCCATCCATCCATCTATCTATCTATCTATCTATCCGAAAGGAAGTAATTCTGCGAGATTTCCTTCAAAAGTGCATCGCTGAGTCGATCGATCAATGAATCAATTAATCAGTCTATCCATCTAAATCTAATCTACTCGAATCTAATCTAAATCCTAATCTTAAACCTAATCTAACCTTATCTTATCTCTCTATCTACCTGTGCATGTATGTGAAACGAAGCAATTCTGCGAGATGTCCTCAATGTCTGAACTTGACACCACCAAAAACGAAGCAATTCTGCAAGACTGGAAAGTTGAGTGCAGAGCTTATGGCCTCGTACCAATGCGGTCTGTGATTGTTCCACTCCATCTGTCTAACGCATTGCGCCTGCCACGAAAAAGTGAGGCCAGGTCATACGAAGTGCTGCACCTGTGACGCAAAATCATCTTAGCAAACCTGAAGATCTGATGCTCCAAAATGATCCAAAACGCAACCCTTCTCAGAACATCAGCGCCCTGACCTCCTAACACCTCTGATGAAGATGTCTGTTGTACTGCGCCTGCCACGCGAGCTGCATCTTTGTAGATCTTCTTCAAACGTCCCACGCCTGCTGTCGTTTTTGGAAGCGCTGCAAAACCCGCATGTTTGGCTCACTTTTCACAAGGTGCGGAATCCATGGCGCCTGCCACGCGCAACTGCCCTAAGTTCAAAAAGTGGTCCGAGACGGTCAGTTTTTAGCACTTTTGACTTTTGACTTCACGCCACAGCGGCCTGCACTTTTTCGACATCTCAACCTCCTCCGAAGGTGTGGTGTTTTTTGGTATTTTGACTTCAAAACATGCTTCTCGCCACAGTCGCATGCACTTTTTCGACATCTCAACCCCCAAAAGTGGTCCGAACGTGTGGTGTTTTTTGGTATTTTGACTTCAAAACATGCTTCTGGCCACAGTGGCATGCATTTTTTCAACATCTCAACTTCCAAAAGTGCACCGAGAATGGAATGCTTTGGTCATTTTGACTTCAAAATGTGCTTCGCGCCACAACAGCGTGCACGCTTTTTGAACATCTCAACTTCTAAAAGTGCTCCGAGAATGGTGTGTTCTGTACGTTTTGACATCGACATGTGCTTCGCGCCACAGCGGCGTGCATTGCTTTGACATCTCAACTTCCAAAAGTGGTCCGAACCTGCGGTGCTTTCAAAATGTTCACTTCCAAACGCGCTTCGCGCCACATCGGCGTGCAATTTTTGATTTCCCGTACCATCAGATGGCGCACCTGCCGCTTTAGCTACTTTTCAACCCTCCAGAGCCACAAAACATTAGGGAACACATAGTGTTTTGCGACTTTTTCTACTTTTCTTTGCTCTGACTCTTTCTCTTGTCTGATCTTCTTTCTTCTTCCTTTCTCTTCGCTGACTCTTCCCACCTCTGCTTTTCTATCTGTTGATATTGTCGGAAGTTTGACTGCTAAACTTCCTTCGATCACAGCCATCGATGGCCAAGGTATGGTGCTCTCTGGAGATTTGCTGGAAGTCGTGGGAGCGGATGCGTTTTTCGCAGATGCTTGAGGTTTGCCACTTCCTTTGGGGGCCTTGGACTGCGACCCTTGCGTATTTCATGACCTGATTTGTGCCGTGTGTGATTTTGCGGTCTTTAGGCCTTGAGTCAATTTGCAAATGTGTTTTCATCCCAGAAATCGTGTTGAAAAGTATGTTTATTTCGAATATAAATCGAAAATGAAAGAGAAGCAAACCAACATAATATTCAGGACACAAAAGAACTTCTGCTGTATTATTAGTATGTGTTTAGGCAATTAACCAACATGGGAGACCCATGGCTGGTTTTTCCAAGCATCAGTTCTCATGTTTGTTTAAATAAAGTGTTTGTCCCTGTTAGTATATTTTCATACCACTTGCTCCATTAAGGAACCGGGGTCATGGCATCCAGGCGCATATGTTAGCATCTTCTTGCGTTTGTTGCCACGGTTAAGGTAAGACAAAGGAGCGGGGGATGTGTAAAGGTTGTTTTTGTCTGACAAGGGATGCCGGTCGCTTGGCCACACGGGCCGTTACCCCGCAAGCATATTAAACAACAGGGCTTGGGAATCATGAGTTCTGGGTGGCAGCTGAGGTGATGCCGGGACTGGCCGAAGGCGGCAAGGACAGATGTCGGAAGTGGCCGAAGAAGGGAGCAAGGACAGATGCCCGAACTGGCTGAAGAAGGGAGCAAGGACAGATGTCGGAAGTGGCCGAAGAAGGGAGCAAGGACAGGCAGGGAGGTGAAGCAGAGGTGAGCAAGGACAGATGTCGGAACTGGCCCAAGAAGAGAGCAAGGACAGATGTCGGAACTGGCTGAAGAAGGGAGCAAGGACAGATGTCGGAAGTGGCCGAAGAAGGGAGCAAGGACAGATGCCCGAACTGGCTGAAGAAGGGAGCAAGGACAGATGCCGGAAGTGGCCGAAGAAGGGAGCAAGGACAGGCAGGGAGGTGAAGCAGAGGTGAGCAAGGACAGATGTCGGAACTGGCCCAAGAAGAGAGCAAGGACAGATGTCGGAACTGGCTGAAGAAGGGAGCAAGGACAGATGTCGGAACTGGCTGAAGAAGGGAGCAAGGACAGATGCCCGAACTGGCTGAAGAAGGGAGCAAGGACAGACCGGCTGACAGACCTGGCCGGGGTGAAGCAGAGGTGAGCAAGGACCGATGTCAGAACCGAAGAAGGGAGCAAGGACAGGCTGGCCGGCAGACGCCGAGGTGAGCAATTAAGAGCAGCAAGTCAGAGATGAGCCCCGAAGAAGGGAGCCTGGGTTGGAGATGGAGATCCACTGTTTGGAGATCCACGGGTTGGAGATCCGCTGTTTGGAGATCCGCTGGTTGGAGATCCACTGGTTGGATATCCACTGGTTGGAGATCCGCTGGTTGGAGATCCGCTGGTTGGAGATCCGCTGGTTGGAGATCCGCTGGTTGGAGACCCGCCGGCTGGAGATCCGCTGGTTGGAGATCTACTGGTTGGAGATCCGCTGGTTGGAGATCCGCTGGTTGGAGATCCGCTGGTTGGAGACCCGCCGGCTGGAGATCCGCTGGTTGGAGATCTACTGGTTGGAGATCCAGTGGTTGGAGATCCGTTCGTTGGAGATCCATTGGTTGGAGATCTACTGGCCATTGTGTGGCAATTGCACAACTGGAAAAGATGTCGGAACTGGCAGAAACAGGCAGGGTAAAAGGGTTGGTGAGAGTCTGGCTACTTGAGTGAATCAGTATGTCTTACCGCTCATTTTACCTCATTTGGCGGCTTCTTAGGTCAGGTGTTACCCTGCACCTACGGGAGACTGGCGTTCAGGAATGGTTTGGAAGCGGTGAACAAGCTGGTGGAGAAGAGGTGGCAGAAGCAACTATGCATGGTGCTTTGGCTAGCAAGACAGGCGGATGGGTTCGGGTGAGTGCGTCGCTGCTATTCACTGACCCAGAAGGCCGTGATGCTGACAGCAAACCACAAGAAAGGCTCACGTTGTGACCTGAAACCAAGCAACAAGGCAGCAACTGTATGTTACATGTCCAAAACATATTTTCAAAGCAACTTACAGTAATTACTGTGCATTCTTCTTTGTGATGGCACCGCCGTGCAACATGGGAGCATGCCAAATGCGCTCTGCCAAGGCGGGGGGCTTTTGTAAGGTCATCCATGGCAAAGGATGATGTGCTTTGACATATCTCCACTGTGTCGGCATGCCGCTGAGCAATGAAGTCTGGCGCTGGCAGGCCACGCATCATGGCGGACGGCGTTTCTGCTGTGGCGCGTTGTTGGCATTTTTCACGTGGCAGTCGGGGGCTTGGGTTTGTTTGGGTTTTTAGATATTAGCTTCATATGACACATGCTCGTTGAAGTTCTGTAAATTCTTTGGTCTTCCCGCATGAGGCTAGCGCGGAATTTTCACTGATCCTTGATCAGGACGGGGCTAGCAGCAGTAGGTTAGCCAAAGGGTAGTTTTTCAATTGCCGGGCACAACACATGCAATTTTTCTTTCACAATTCAACAACCCGAAAAAGCAAACAGTGTTTTTTTCCATTGCAGTTTACCCAGATGTTGTTTCCGCGACGTTGATCTGACCCAGGATGCCCCAGGTTTCAAGGCCAATGAAGAAGCAATCGCTTTGTTGGGAAAGAAAGATGCCTTGGCAGCGCTACAAACTCTCCAGCAGGCGAGGGGTTCAATCATGGTTTCCATTGAGTTTCCATGCTAAATAAATAAGATTACTGTACCAAAAAATATGACGATTTACTCATGTTCCCTTGGATTTCTAATGGACCACATACATGCGTAAGTGGCAGAGTGAAAGAAACAGGCGGAGAGAAGGAGAGAGAGAGAGAGAGAGAGACAAACTCAGACAGATACAAACACATAGACACAGAGACACACAGATTGCAACCGTCCGACCCAGGCACGGACGGACGGGAGGACGAGACTCACAATCGACAGACGGACAAGCAGACAGACAGACAGACAGACAGACAGACAGACAGCCAGCCAGCCAGCCAGCCAGCCAGCCAGGCAGGCAGGCAGACAGGCAGACAGGCAGACAGGCAGACAGGCAGACAGGCAGACAGGCAGACAGGCAGACAGGCAGACAGGCAGCCAGGCAGCCAGGCAGCCAGGCAGCCAGGCAGCCAGGCAGCCAGGCAGCCAGGCAGCCAGGCAGCCAGACAGGCAGACAGGCAGACAGGCAGACAGGCAGACAGGCAGACAGGCACACAGGCACACAGGCACACAGGCACACAGGCACACACACAGGCACACAGGCAGACAGGCAGACAGGCAGACAGGCAGACAGGCGCGCATACGCGCATACGCGCATACACGCATACACGCATGCATGCATGCATAAACCTCTGTCATACACTCATCTGTGTACACACCTGCACATTGCAAATCTACATGTGCGCATACATACGGCGCACATCCATGCATGAAAGCATGCGCGCATCAATTTCTTTATTGTTAAACTGGCACCAACATTCATGCATGCACTGACATGCACACCGTCATCCATTTGTGATTTGTGCATGCATTCCTTTATATAATATAATCATACATGCATATGTTCATACATTCATGCAGGCAGATGCCCACAGACGAAAACACACAGTTGCAAATATGTTGGCATGGTCAATCTGTTATATTTTGTTCTTTCGGATTATTTCGCACCAACCCCAGAAGACCTCAAATGTTCCAGCGTTGACATATAACTGGTGGCTGTAGTGGCATCAGGCATTGCGACGACGACCCCACAGTGTTCAGCTACAAAACTCAGTCCCATGGTCTCAAGTGAGGGTTTGAGGGCAGGTGGCTTGGTACCAAAGGCCTTCGAGGCTAATTGTTTGGAAAATTTACGCGCTGTGCGGCACCAATTGGTTATTCCCAAAAAAAATTGCCGGTGCACAGATGGCATATTCAGTGTTCCCATTGGGCATGGGGCCAGTTTCCGACACATGCCACGCTGGCATGCTATGGTCGGTTCACCCAATCTGAGGTGGGCGTGGTCTTCATGCGCCTTGGCTGATGTGACAGGGACGAAACGAACACCGATCAAAAGCTTCCCAGTTATACCTTATAAATGAGTCTAGAAAGGTGGACGCCAAAAACCCACAGTTTTAGGCACAGAAACTTAGAGCATGGCATGGCATTTTTGTTGTACGTTTTTTTTTTTTTACCGCGGATGGTTGTGAAATCCTGCGCCAGTTGGTAGATGGAACAAGTCCCGTTAGAATATGTTAAAATCTTATTATATCTGGTTGGTGGATTGGAACATTTTTCCATATATTGGGAATTGAATTATCCCATCTGACTTTCATAATATATTTTTCAGATGGGTTGAAACCACTATATGGGATAATCCTTCCCATTGACTTTCATATTTTTCAAGATGGGTGGGTATACCACCAACTAGCTAAGTAGTATGATAATCAATGGGATTAAACCATATTAAACCATACTAACCATATATAGGGTAGGTATACCAGCAACCAGTTATAATCCTATTATATGTAGTCCCAGTGCTTCAACCGCCGGGCCCAGCCACTCCAAATTGTGGACCATGGAGGGCATTCCCTTTGAAAGGTTCATTGGTTTATTATCATTTATTATCATTTGTTATCATTATATGTATATATCTCATTGGACAATTGGATATAATGTATTATTATATATATATCATTATCATTAAATATATGGTTATCATTGAATGTTTATATTATTATTAATTGTTATTTTTACTATTTATGAGTGTTATTATTTTTATTTCATTCATTATTATTATTTGTTTTTATTACTATTATTATGTATATATATGTATATCATTACCATGTTCCTATGAAAGGCCATAATCTGAGGGGATGCGACTATCTATTTCCGATCGATGTCTTGGTGACTGTTCCGTGGACCTGACTCCAAGGTACCTCGCAAAGAGCAGGCATGGGCTAAAGGTACGCCCTGAATTTGGTTGATATGGGCGCAAGGCATTGAAGAAATTAAGCCAGCAAAAATGTTGATCGAGAAGAAGAACATGGAAATAAAACCAAATAAAGTTTAATAATTATCTGTGACTTTCATGGACAGGGGAATGGTAGAGTTTTATTGGTCACTTGGTGCTGAGATCAAGATTCAATCCATACTTCGGGGTGCAGTTCCAGTATGTTCTAGTGACAGTGGCCCCAAATCCCAACTTATGGAAGTTAGGACCATTGTTTTTACCCATGAATCTCAACTGCACCCCTTACGGGCCATTGTCCATGCTTTTGTCAGTGCAAGGAGATACCGTGAACTGCTGTGATAGATTGCCAATTGATGATATAATTGAGCTCGATATACGTCTAGGTGAAAATGATTGTATATATATATATATACATCATGTCAGTCACCACCTCCGTGAGATACACCTCCTGACAGAAATGTTGACACGCATTTATCTTGACATATACCCTGACATGTAGTCCGACAGATGTGTTATCGTTAAATTTAATATATTATATTATTAAATTATATGTTATTTTGACAATTACTTTGACATTTTTCCTGACACATATTCTAACGTTTATCTTGACAGATTTTCTGATGTATTGTTGCTGCGTTTGCTTTTTTACCGCGCACGACTCTGCAGATTTGCCGCATACACCAAAGATCCAGCAAGTAAGGATGGAGAAAGAGAGGAACACTGCTTATATCTAATGTCATGTCATGTGATGTCCGGTGTCTAGTGTAGTGTCATGTTTTGTTATGTTATGTATGTATGTTTGCTATGTATGTTCTCTCTGATGTTATGTCTGTTACGTATGTTCTGTATGTTACTCGTATGTCTGTTGTGTTTGTTGTGTATGTTGTGCCTGGTATGCCTGTTCATTTGTATGTTATGTCTGTTATGTCTCTTATGCCTGTTTCTCGCGTATCTCTGTTAGATGTGTAACGTCATGTGTGTCATCTACGTATGTCATGCCCGTTATATATGTCATGTATGTCATACATGTATTGTATTTCATGTCTGTCATATATGTCCTATGTGTCATGTCTACTCCCATGGCTACCTTTCGTCCACCCCCCCTCTCAAGTTGTTTATTAACAAGTCCACATATTTCCACGCTTTGTGGTAAAGATCCAGGTTCTTGTAGTTTAAAGATTGGCTCTTTGCTGGTTTTGCTGTAGTATTGTGGTGCTCAAGACCAATGTGGTTTATATTCCTTTTATATCCTTTTACTTCCCCGCATTTGTCCATGATACCGTGACTTGTGACATAGTCCTCGTGTATTGTTTTCAATCACTGGGGGCTGCACACTAGATCATAATAGGTACAGGTATGTGGCCATAATTCTAGTGATAATAAGATCCCTCGGTCCCCCACTTGGTTTTGCAGGAACAGCTGGAAGAAGCAGCCAGTGAAGCCTTTCGAGTCGCCGAGAAGCTGGCAGAGAAACGGACGCAGAGAAGTGGTGCCATGGCCTGTGGGGACCAGCGTCGTGAAGCGCTGGAATGATGGTTCGATTGCGGGGAATTATCCCAATATACCAAACATAGTGGGAAAATGAGGGAATATAGTGGAAAATCATCTTTAAATAATGGGAATCATAATATACCAAACATGGAAAAATAGTGATTTACCCTCTGGTTATGACTAACATAGCCATGGTATAGATGGCCCATTTATAGATGGTTTACCGAACTAAAAAATTGTGATATTAGGGAATTATTATCCGTTGCTCAGAAAAATGCTGGATTTACCCTTTAAGATAATGGCTGGTTGGTGGTTTCAATCATTTTTTCCATTTCATATCTAATATTTTTCAGAGGGGTTGAAACCACCAACCAGATGGGGATTTACTATGGCTCTTACTGGGAATGTGATGCAGATGGGTTGGCCTGAAGATGGGAGAGGGGGCTCCAGTCAATGGGTGTGTTTCACGATGGAAATTGGTTGATTTTACCAACATCAATGGAGAGAGACCATGTAATTACATCTATTACATCTATTACATCTATTACATCTATTACATCATGATGGCAAAAAAGTTTTTTAGTTTAACCAATATCAGTGGTAAGAGAATTAGCAAACATGGTGACAAATGGGTCACTTAGCAGCAGCAATCGAGAAAACCTCTATCGAAGATGGTGACGCAACTAAGTTGCTTTCAACTAGCGTGATGGTGATACACCCCATCTAACACTGTCCATTAGTCAACAAAATGGATGTTTCACTCATCAAAAAGTTGCGCTTCAGCAAGTCGTATCGTATCGCTACCCAGTGGTCCCACAGCGTACGTGAGGATGAAGAGAAACCAAGGTTTTCGGAAGTTTTGGGGAGATAGCCACGGGGATACAAGTTTTATGGTCTTCTCTCGGTAGTCGTTGGGATAAGTTGTTGCAGCAATGACCTTCATTGGATGACAGAAGCTGCGCAATCTGCAGGACTTTCGAAGGTCTGATACGTAAAGGTGATACCAGCTATTGATCGTACCAACACTAGGAATAGTGGCGAATTAGATGATTTCCATGTTGGCATTCCCGAACGCTGAAGATCAAGATCAGATTGAGATAGGTTCAGGCGAAGATGGATTAAGGTATGTTAAGATATGCCGCATTGCCCCAAGCGTTCCATTTGAGGTGGAAAAGGTCGAAAAGCAGGGTGTGGAGCCTCAGGAGTGCGCAAACCCTCATGGGAACATCCCCAACCTTGGACATGTAGTGTGATATGTGGAAAATCCCCTAGTTGTTGGCATGTTTCGGGCTATAAATGGAAAATAACTCTAAAATAGCCAATAAGTTATGAGCAAATAAATGGGTCAGCAAATGTGTTTTTGGCAATATCCAGCACGGGATTATTTTTTCGATATTTTTTGTGCACTACCAAAGATTGACTGTCGATCTTCAAATATCGGCAGATCCGATGGTTTCCAGATGGCGGATCCCCAAGCTCGCTCGCTGGTTTATTTCATGGAAAATCCCAAAATCGAAAATGGATGATGACTGGGGTAGCATGGGTAGCCCTATTTTAGGAACCCTCCATATTCTAGAAATGATGGTTGGTTGATGATTAGTTGGATCTTGACATGATGTATCCAAGAATGAGCCCAAAAAGGTGTCCTTTATCGAGGGGGTTTCCCCAGTTGGTTTGGGATACCAAATCGGTTCCCAGCGAGAGAACAACCAAGGCAGGAAAAATCCTCCGCCGAAAGTGATTCGGAGGCTGGGGATCGAGAAACCTAGATGTGGGATGGTTAAATCAACTGTTTGGACCTGGTTATATATACTAGTATTATATTATGTAAGAGTTAAAATAGTAAGAAACCTCAAAAAGGGATAGAAGAGGCTGTGAGTTTGCCACTTGATGTTTGGAAACGCTTGGTGTTCTGCCCCTTTTTTGTTGCTGTTTGCTATATCATTTGTATCAGAGAATATCCCAGTACTTGACGGTGCAATTCCAGTTTTGCTAGTGGGTAACAATTTCTATAGAGGCAATATTCCAACATATCCCAACTTATGGGGGTGGACTTAGCATGGTATCCAAGTAAACTAAATCCCAATTGTCATTGTCAGTTGGTCAAATCAGTTTTTTTGATGGTTACGTCATGTTAAATCCCCATTTTGTTGCTTTCAATACGCTGACATCGCGTTTGGGTTTGCTTTGTATATATTTATATACATATATCGCAGCCTCGGGGAAAAAAAGACAGAAAAAGTGAAATCCTATAATGTGGGGCCCCCCAGTTATAAGATGGTTTATAAACCCCATTAACTATAGTTATAAGTACCATAAACCATAGTTATTGGAGTTATAAACCAACTTAGCTATCTAGGGGGCCCCACTTTGTACTTATATTGAAATAGGCATAATTCACTTTTTCCATCTTGCTGGTGGCTATGTAATTGTTTTGGTATTGAAATGATCTCCCGGTTTTTTCGACTTCACCAGGTGGCAAAGTCCAACAGCAAGTTGGCGCAAAGGTGGACCGTGATGGGATTTCAAGGGGTTTCACAAACCAAAAAGGATGATTTCACCAATGAAAACCGAGGATTTCACAAATTTAGACTGGAATTTGGGATCTGAAAATGGGTGATATCTCCAATTGCTATTTGATAGGGAAAACGATGATTTAAACGATAAACCGCCATTGGCTGGGTGTTTTTCATGTTTTTTTTTGGATTTTTGTTGGGCACCGTATCTTCAGACAAAGCCATGAAACATATGTTCGCAGAAATCAGGAGCATTCATTGTTGTGGCAAATTGATGAAACATCGGAAAATGGCTATGTGGAGAATCATGGCAAAACCATGAGAGATGACTGTTAAGACCATGATCATTGATGGCCCAAGGGGGATTTTTCCTACAGAGGTGGTTCTAGTTAAGAGCAGGCCCTGGCAGAAACCAACAAAAACCTATCACCTGGATATATAACTATATTAAAACTATCACCTGGATCAATTACGATGACCAAATACGGCACTTGAATGATGCCCTGTGATTTGGATGGTAGAATATCCCCATGACGATTATTGGTTGATATGGGAATATGAATAGGGATATGATGAGATAGAATGGGATAGACATTTACCTCTCTTTCTGATGAGTTATCTCATCATCTTCCCCATGGCCCCCATGAAATATAGTACATGTTGGGTGTTACTGGACTTGTTGCGGCTGCCACCATGGTGATGTTGATGATTTAGTCTATACCCCTAATGTCAAACACCCCCCAGAAACCATGGTATATGGATGTATGTGGTATAGTAAGCCGCAAAAAGATAGAAAAGTACATCATCAACTTGTTAGTGGAAATTGGCCAACTTCTGTCTTTTTTCGGGGTTACAAGAAGACCATCTCATGTTTTCCCATCTGTGTTGATGGAGAATTCATGTTTTTGGTAAATTTAACATACCATGATTGAAGATTGGATTTCTGAAGATTGGATTTCCAATATTAATTCCATTATATATTATTAAAGATTGGAGTTGCTAATATACCTGTAATAATATATTGTGCCATTATTAAATTCCCTTCTTTGTTGGCTAACCTTGTTTCATGGTATTAAACACCCCTCAGATACCATGGTATGCCTTCTAGCTTCTGATTTGAGAACTGGAACCGATTTTGTTCAAACATTACAATGTTCAAACTCTACCATCCCATCTTTTTCCCATCCAGATGAACCATGTACCATAGATTAACACATTATGATTAAAGACTTACTGGTGCTAATCATCCCCCATTCCCAGCCTTAAGCACTAGTAAGAAGATGAGATGTTCCAGTAAGATTGGATTTGCCAATATACATCAATATACCATTATTCAGAAATACCATTATGTGTTATGCCCACCTTTGGTGAACATGTAATTTGTCTTTCTCCCAATCGTGGTGGTTAACTAAATCCATTTTGTCCAATCCATATGGAAGATAATGGTATGTGCAACAGACAATGGTGGTTTCTTCACAGTAAGTCTGTGTTGAACACTTAATCATATTTATTGAATGTACCCAAATATACGGTATCTTCATGATTTTTAATATAGCAAACACAACAACACAACAATAGTGTGTTAATCCTATTATTTATACTAATCCAATGAATATTGACCATTCATGATGGTATCTTAATGGTATCTTAATAGACCATCCCCAATGTCACCACCTGAAAAAAAAAAGTGGTATGTTTACCATTCCCAGCCATGGGTGGTATAGTGTTGTTTTTTCCCACATATATGGTATAAAATAGTCAATATGAGGAACATAGTTATTAAACATGAATAGATCATTCTCATTATTAATGGCTGTCATAACTCCCATCCCTTTTTTCCACGTCGACCCCGTCGTTCATTGAAGATGATATGCCATGGATTAACATGCCATGATTAGTATACTTAGTATACCATTAAAGATGGTTAATATACCATATTCATCTGGATGGCTAGCATTTTTCGTGATATTTTAACGTTGTTTTTTTCATACTACCGTCTGGTGATTTTGATATATACAGATGATTTTCCCAGCTATATATAAACATCCATTTAGTTCAGGGATTTTCCATAGCTACGTTAAATAACCAGATAGTCATATTAAAGATGATTAATACACCATATTAACAACTTTCAACTAGCATATTGAAGATGTTTAATATATGTTAATACACCATATTAACAGAGTGTTTTGTTCATATTAACCAAAGATTGTCAACATACTATATGAACAAAGTTGTTCCATATATTAACCATATATTAACCATATATTAGCCATGATATGTTCCAAAGACCCAAAGGCATTTGGAAGCCAATCGCCTGAACATCGAGGGCATCCACTTGGATCGCCTGTACCGTTGGGACGAGGCGCGAGGCCCGGTTTCCATGGAGCTAGCGTGACGACCCAGGAGACCTCCATATCCCATGACGGATCCAAACGGTGCTGCCATATATGGTGCTCCATGGATCCCGTCAAGAAATACCCCCTTTATGTTAGCATATATACCAGCACCATGGATCCTATGGGTATGGAAAATATGGAAAATGAGATGTGAAAATATGCGACCAGTGCTGTTTTCCATAGGTGTCATAATGGAAGATGGGGGTACCTCCATAGGATAATGGAAAATGAACCTATGGAACATATGCTGCTGTTGTTTCTGGTTCACCAACAAAGAATATCAAACATGATCAAAAATGATAAACATGTCGGTTTTGCCAAGAGAAAATAATAAAAAAAATGGTAGTAAAAGTCAGAAGACACATAGAAAATATGGAAACATGATGGTTTCACCAACGGTTATGTCGTGATAAAACCACAGAACACTAGAAACGCGAAGAAAGAAAAGTGGACCGGCAGGAGGTTCCTGCTTCATGAAAGCAATTCGATGTGTGTGAGAAATTTCTACTGAAAGATTGGAGTCTTGGTCAAAAGGAATGGAGGCTCCCAGTGCGGAACAGAAAGTTGATTGTCCCTTCAAACAAAGGTTGGCGATTGGATATCCCATTCTATTCCATTCTATTCTATCCCATTCTAGCCCATCATACATTACATATCGAAAATTCTCATGTTCTATCCCACCGCATTTGTAAACAGGCACAATGTTGGTTGCCATGCCAAAAAACTAACCAGGCAGCCTATGGCCCTCCCAGGCAGCAGCTGTTTTCCGCAAGGCCATGACAGCAGGAGTCTCAGTGAATCCCGCGGCAATTGAAGGAGTTAAGCCGTTAGTTAAGCCAGAAGAATGATGGCCTAATAATGGGGATATGTTGGGATCTGATATAATTTGGAATATCCCAGTCAAACCTCTAGTTCATATGTACATATATATATAATATTGTAATATATATATATATAAAGATGTGATAACAATGCTTCTAAGCAACTTAGAAGTTACTGGGATGCAGGGTATCAATGCACCGCTGGTGGTCATAAATCATCATGCAATGTGGTTCTGGCTGTCCAAAGGGGTTCTGAATCAGGTAGTCTGGTCAAATTTCTCATGTTTGCGTAAGTTATAGTAAATCCAAATTTGTATGTCGTACATCCACAACTTGATTGCTAAAATCATCATAATGTTGGTCAAATCCCTATTTTTGTCCGAAACTTGGCTGCCCCAAAATTTAATGGTTTAATGGCCAAAAATGATGATTGTCCCTCTCAAAATGGCCAGGAACTTCTGGTTTAGATCCCTAAAAATTTCATACACACCCCTTGTTTGAACCGATGAAATCCCCATCTTGGTTGAATCCCATGGAAACTCTGGCGATTCGCCAGATCAAGTCAAGAAAAACACGAAACAATCATGAAAACATAGGCTGAAACTGGTAAAATATGGTCAAATCCCCAGTTTCGCTGATTATATAAACATCAGCATTTTCCATCATTTTCCCAGTTTCGATGCAAAAAAAAGGCCTTGTTTGGCTGAAAATTTCGCCAAATCGAGGTGATGCCTCACTTCGACCCACGCACGGCCAACAATTTGGCCAGTGCAACTGGGATCCGACGACGGTGGACGTTTTTTTCACGTTTTATCCATCCGACAGGAGATTGGGATCCATGAAAATTCAGGATATCTGGTGGGTTTTTGTTCAGGATCCCAATGGATTTTCAGGATATGTTCAGGAGATTGGGATCCATGAAAGTTCAGCAAAAACTGCACAGTTGATGCTGACTTGATGGGGATCTATGGATGTCAACTGAGAATTTGTGTCGGGGCCATGAAATATCCATTGAAATTTTGAGTTTTCTCCCATGGTCGGAGTTTGATCAGATTCCCTTGGTGATCAAGGGCCAGCCGTGAGGGATAAAAGGGATCCGGGAGAGCATGGCACAAGAATTGAGATGAGAAAAGTTGAAGATTCATGAAGGTTTGTCTCAGGTTCATAGCACCTTTTTTAAACATATGTTTAAAATTTAAAGACTTATCAGAGAAGCCGAGGATGAATTGGTTTGTCGTTTTTTTGGAGAGCAAATCAGCGGTTGATTTGTGAAGAGCAAAGCTGTCAGGTTGGTGAATGACTTGAATTCAGCCTGATTGATCCAGCTATTTTGATGTGAAAACCCTGCAAAATCCAGGGCTTTGACCAAGATCACCGTCCCGCAAGGTAATCTACAAGAATGCCACGTATCGTTCCTCCGGTTGGACTGAGGTCAGAAGGGGGCTAGTTTGGAGACGGAGAAGTCCGCTTTGGTTCAAACCTTTCGAAGTCTCCAGGATGAAGGGTTTCCCATGTTTCACTGCTTTCACATTTTGTTTTCTAAATTGTCTGAACATAGGCCCCTTAAATTTGACCGTTTATCATCATGTTCCCTATCAAAATTGCCATTTTTGCAGGATGGTGCCCCCCAGTTGTAAGTTGGTTTATAAACCCCATGAATACTATAGTTATATCTACCATAAACCATAGTGACATTGGACTTACTGGCACCAACTTAGCTAACGAACTGGGGCACCACTTTGTATGCTCCATTTTCAGACACAGCCATATGGCCTAGAAGGATCCACCAAGCGCCTGTGTGGTTCTTGCCATCTGTGGTGCTGGGCCCAAAGGATTTTGATAGGCGTTTTGAAGAACAAAAAGCTCAGTATGATTGTGATTAATGATTTATTACATTTTATTAATTTTATTACTATTTATTGATGTATTCAAACCCTCTTGGTATTGAGGTGTGGTGGCGCATGAATCCCCAAAACTCATCACTTACCCTTTGGAATCTAACATCACCAGAAAATATCAACCATTTTCGGATGTTCAATTTCAAAAAATCAGGGAAAACTGCCCCTGTTATCCATTTTCAACATGCCCCTGTTGACAATAGTGGTTGCATTCATTTGTTAAAGAGCAACGTTCAACATGTTCAACACCCTATTGGATGATTGCATGGTGTTACACTACCCTTTATATATTGGGAATTATCACAATCCAAAAATTGGTAATTTCCTTCTGAACCAACCGTTGTATTTCATGAGGAAAACTGAGCACTGCGCACAAAAATCCTCCATGTTCATACCCAAATTCCAGATCTAATTAGTGAAATCACCGTGTTTCAAAAACACCATGAAAAACACCCAGGTTTGATGGTGAAACCTCCGCGTTGGTTGGATATATCCCATTTTGACCCAAAAAGTCTGGAAAAGCAATCTTGTCAAATCACTAATTAAACTAAACATCTATGTATGGTTGCTCAAATCCCCTTTTAAAAAAACACACGGGCCTATTGAGATTTATGGATGGCACGGTAGCGACATCTGGCGACCGGAAGCCACCAGAATTGGCCAGGCCTCGCCCTTCTACCGCGAGGCGCAGAAGTTGTTGCAACGCGCCTTGAAACTGCTGCCAGGCCGTGCTGTTTTTCGCTGTTGGGTTGGTGTTGGGTGGAAAGATGTGGACACTTTGCCACCAAAATATGGGAAATGGGAATTTATATGGTGGACATGAAGCAAAAACAATTGAGATCATCGTCAAATGGAGTAAACATCCAGTGCTTTGCCTCGATTTTGTTCAATCAACGCAACAAGAAACCGGTTCAAGACACGGCGACAAAACCCGGGAAAAAGACACAAACAACATGTGGTTTTGCCAGTGTGGATCTGAAAGCAATTGGATAGGGGAAGACTCAAGATGATAAGTTGACATTGCCACTCTTGTTGCTCTTGTTGCTCACCATACCCAGATGTCATTCGCTTCTGGGAATTAATTCACCACGGAAAAAGTTTGAAATATGGGTCAAGGACATCAAGAGATAGATATTTCATGATATTTCACGTATTTCAGCAGCCATTGGAGCATATTGGAGCTATGGAAAAAAATTCGTCAAGGTCACCAGAATTCACCAGAAAAATCAGCTACTACATGCTACTGCCCAGGCCCATCTGTATAAGAGTACGAAGCATGTTACAGATGCCAAAATCACGGGATGCCACCTTTGTTTCAAAGATGACCTTCCAACATGGATGACCAAGTCTTCAGCCTTACTCATGTGGGACAAAAAACGTCTAGAAGAGTCAGAAAAAACATTTGCAGCATGATATTGTTGAGCATGACTTGCAGGGAACCCCAAAAAAAACAGAAAAATGGATAACAATGGTCTGAAGTTCCACAATTTTCGCTTCACAACTCCCCTCGCCATGGCGCCTGGTCGCAGCCGCAACCGCATAGCCCTGGCCTTGGCTCTGGCCCTCGCCGCCTGTCGTCATGTCTTCGTGGCACCCTCTTCGCCACGCTGGCGCCACGTTGCTGCGCGCGGTGCCACGGCGCGGCAGAATTGGATGGAGATGTTGGAGGAGGCAGTTGGTACACCTACACCGGAGACACCGGATGCTTGGAGATTGATTCTATGGGATGAAAAATCCTCAAGATTTTTGCTGGGATTTCATGGGATTGGGATTTGATTGATTGAGATGGAGGGTACGGTCAAAACCTATGAATCTATCAATTTTGGTGAGATGAACACCAAGAAAACCAGCTAGTTTGGGGTGCACTAGGTACCAGGGTTTTGACCCATAGCCAGATATGAATGGGACTTAAGCGTTAAGATTTCATGGGAATGTAGCAGGTTTGGTGCAAAAACGGCGGAGAGGAGCTGAAATTGGTAATCCATGTTGCATTTTTGCCAAGAATTGGTTGAACATGTTTTTTATATCCTGTAGTTTGCCACCATATTTGATTGGCAAAATGGTTCCTGTATAGACGTTCCCCGCAAAACTAAGCCATTGAAAGTTTGATAGCATTGAAGATCCCATGCGTTGGTGGTTTCTTACCTTTAAAACAATGCCAGACCCCAAAAAAATCAGTGAACTTCCTGTCAATCATCATCACTGGATGAGTTGTGGGTAAATTATCACGACCTCACAGTTCTCCCTGGAATACTGGTCTATATTGGGGAACTATCCATAATATAGCCTGATTTTAGTGATTTTTGATTAAACACATGCCAAGAATGATGGAGATACCTAATCATCTATAGAAAATGGGAGTGATATGTAATGATAATCATGTATAGAAAGTTGTTACCCTCTGGTTATTTAACATAGCCATGGAAAATCAACATTTTTTAGTTCGGTAAACCATCTATTTCTATGGGCCATCTATATATACCATGGCGAACTGTTAGTCACTGTTAGTCATAACCAGAGGGTAAATCACTATTTTTCCATGTTTGGTATATTATGGGTCCCATCATTTATAGCTGATTTTCCTGATTTTCCACTATATTCCCCTAATTTTCCCACTATAATTTACCATGTTTGGATGAGTTTGGCTTCCATGAAAAGACAGCACCTCGAGGACACGGCCATCCCCAGTAGTGTTCCAGCCTTGGACCCTGAGCTGATGACAGAGGAATAGCGGGGACGGCCATGGGCCATGGGCCAGAGAGATATGAAAAATTAACCATCAACAAATAGGGATTTAATGGGATTTCACGGGGAATTTAGGTGAATTTTATTGGATTTAATGGGGATTTAAACGGGATTTAAATGGCATTTATTGGGGGATGGGTGAATGTATTGGATATTACATACTGGTGTTACCAGTTTTATCATGTTATGCCCATTGAAGTGGTGGTGTTATTTGGTACAGTATGTGCTGCTTGCTTGTTCAAGTCAAGAGTGGCAACTCGGGCCTAGTGTATTCATACCAATGGTATCCACTTGCGATTGGCAAAACATGAAGGACGCAACTCCCATCCGGATAGATGTTATTTCTCAATTTCTGTTGCTTCTATCACCAATATTCTTGTTTTTTTTCGCCCCCGAATCATGTTCTCCTGTTCCGTTACCCTCTGGTAAACTAACATAACTATGGAAAATCACCATTTTTAATGGGAAAGTCCACTATAAATGGCCCTTTTCAATAGCTATTTTGACATAATCAGAGGGTATCCTTCTGTTGTTTTTCTTTCGTCCTAGTATACTTCATCGATTTTCTGTTTCCAGATCCCAAACTGTTCAAACCAAGTCTTCCCCCCAAAAGCCCAAAAGATCTATAAAAACATCGATTACACCGGCATAGACCCCAGATAAAAAAGGTTTCAGAAACGCTTTCTTATTTGCCATGCATATGCCGTGCGAATTGGCTGCGGCAAAACCGGAACTGCTGGTTCCCAAACGTTGGAACCAATGCTTCCCAATCTTGGACCCACGAGTTCCCAATTCGAATATCAATTAGGGGAAGAGGGGGGTAACAGGGAAACAGGGAGGAACAAATATTTTTACATAAATCTTCCACAGAACGTTTTCATGCCTCAACCACTTCGAACCTGAAAGAAGAAAGGCAATTGCATTCCGCAAATCACCAGGCCGAAGTGATTGCACACTAGACCCCGAAGGTACCACAAATCTGAAACCAAAGGTTGTTGCTTATGGCAACAATCTTGAGAATGTTCGAGGTGGTGATCATGAACATATGCTGTTGATGATGCTGTTGATGATCGCGATGATGTTGGTGCGCGTGATGATGTTGATGCATGTTATGATCATCACGATCATCCTGATGATTATGCTGATTCTGATGATGCTAATGGCCATGATCATGATGATCATGACCATGTTGATGATCATGCTGATGTCCATGACCATGTTGATGTCGATGACCACGTTGATCATAATGGTGGTTATGATCAAGATTATGTTGATGATGATAATGCTGATGATTCTGGTGATGTTGATGCTGATTTTTTGATGATAATTTTGATGATCGTGATGATAATTTTAATGATGACAATGATGTTGATGACCATGTCGGTCATGATGGTGATGATGATCATGAAGATGATGGTGATGATGCTCATCGTGGTGATGATGATGATGATGATGATGATGAATAATGAAGGAAGGGCATCCCGTGCACAGGCGAGTCGGGCCATCCCGTGCACCAGCGAGCCAAAATCCCGTGCACACACGAGGCGGTTACCAATGTGTCCCAATCTTGGAACCGCGGGTTCCCAGTTCCTGGGCCTGCTTGGGAACCTCTTGCTGGGAACCCTTGCTTGGGAACCTGTTCCTGGGAACCTCTTGGGAACCTGTTCCTTGGAACCTTGCTTGGCAACCAACCTTGCTTGGCAACCTCGTCCTGGGAACCCGGTTCCCAACCTTGCGCCGTGCGGATTTGGCTGCTCCGAGGGATTCTCTTGGAAAAGGAAACCCTTCCTGGGAACCTGGTTCCCAACCTTGCGCCGTGCGGATTTCGCTGCCCCGACCTGCTCCGGAGCCTTTACTATGGCTGAAGACCCGAAGCTTACGCTGTTGGGGAAAAAGGTTTTGAAAGCTGCGATTCCCAAGAATTAGAAATCATTCGCGCACGGGTTCCCAGTTTCAGGAACTGCTGGCTCCCAAGCCCCAATCTTACATGTTCCCAGTTCTAGGAACTAGCGGTTCCCAAACATTGGCACCGATGCTTCCCAATCTTGGAACCACAGGTTCCCAGTTCGAAGACTGCTGGATTCCAAAGATTGGAACCCATGCTTCCCAATCTTGGAACCATTTGTTCCCAGTTCTAGGAACTACCGTTTTTCAAACGTTGGAACCCATGCTTTCCAATCTTGGAACCGTGCGTTTCCGATTCAAAAAACTGCCAGTTCCCAAAGATTGGAACCTCCCAATCTTGGAACCACGGGTTGCCAGTTCTAGGAACTGGCAGTTCCCACTGGTTCCAAGTTCCAGGAACTACCGTTTTTCAAACATTGGAACCAATGCTTTCCAATCTTGGAACCGTGTGTCTACAGTTCCAGGAACTGCTGGTTCCCAAGATTGGAATCAATGCTTCCGATGCTCGGAACTGTAAATTCCCACTTTTAGGAATTTCCGATTCCGAAACGCTGGAACGAATGCTTTGAAATTTGAAACCGCGGGTTCCCAATTCGGGGAAACGCCAGTCTCCAAAGATTGGTGGGTTTCAAGTTCCAGGGAATTTCCGGTTCCCAAAAGTTGAAATAATTATGTCTAGTAACTTGAAAGATTCGCAGTCCTATTTGCGAGAATTTGGACTTCCTAAGGGTTGGGCTATGTTTCCGAGTTTTGACACGAGCTTCATTTCCAAGGACTGCGACCTTGGCGTCCGATTGAACAAAAACTTCTGCAATAAGCCTTTGTTGTTTTGCTTAATGGTCCGCCAAAAAGATGTTTTATACATGCATTTTGATTTTGATCCAACGCATATATATGTGCAAGATGTTGTATGAAAAAAGCGGCCATGGTTTTGTTTAATGATGATTAATGGACCGGCATCAAGAAAGGCACTGGTGGAAAAACAAGTGCTGCATATTGGACCGACGTGAAAACATGTTCTATAAAAAAAAATAGCTTTGTTTTGCTTGTTGGTCCGGTACCACCGATGCGTTCGCAATAGGCCTGCCAATAGTGACCGACCGCAAAAAGAAGGCGCGTGATTAAACCAAACATATTAGCAAATAACGTAAAGTAATAAATATTCAAAAAGAATGTGACGAACGGCTTCCCAGTTCGAGGAACTGCTGGTTCCCAAGCAATCTTGGAAGCACATGTCCCCAGTTCTAAGAACTAGCGGTTCCCAACCATTGGAGTCGATGCTTCCCAATCTTGGAACCACGGGTTCGCAGTTCGAAGGCTGCTGGTTCCCAAAAGACCGAACCTATGCTTCCGAATCTTGGAAGCACATGTTCCCAGTTCTAGGAACAAGCACTTCTCAAACATTGGGGCCAATGCTTCCCAATCTTGGAACCGCCGGTTCCCAACAGATGCTTCCCAATCTTGGAACCACGGGTTCCCAGTTCTAGGACCTAGCGGTTGTCAAACGTTGGAACAAAATGCTTCCCAATCTTGGAACCACGGTCCCCCAGTTCCAAGAACTAGCGGTTGGAACCAAAATGCTTCCCAATCTTGGAACCACGGGTGCTCAGTTCTAAGAACTAGCGGTTCTCAAACGTTGGAAACAAAATTCTTGTCTATCTTGAAACCACGGGCTCACGGGTTCACAGTTCGAGGACTTGCTGGTTCCCAAGCACCCTGCACAAGCTGCCCTTGCCAGACTTGCACAGCATCTTTGCCAGACTTCGCCACCGCAGCACCCACAGCAGCCTGCACAGGAGCCCGCACAGCACCTTTGCCAGACCTCGCCACCGCACCTTGGACAGCCTGCGTGCACGGCACCTGCACAGCTTTGCTCGGACCTCGCCACCGCACCCGGACAGCAGCCAGCACAGGTCTGCCATTCACTTGCGACGAACACCTCACCCCTGCACACTGCCAGACCTCGCCACCGCACTGTCAGCAGCAGCCTCATCCCGGACAGCCCTGCACAACACCTTTTTGCCAAGCCTCACCCGCACAGCTTGCACAGCCTGTACAGCACCCTGCACAGCACCCTGCACAGCACCCTGCGCAGCACCTTTGCACAGCACCTTTGCCAAACTTCGCCACCGTACTCTGGACAGCACCCTGCACAGCACCTTTGCCAGACCTCGCCACCGCACTCTGGACAGCACTCTCCGCAGCAACCCGCACAGCACCCTGCACCGCACCGTGCGCAGCACCCCGCACCCTGCACAGCATCCTTCACAGCATCCTGCACAGCACCTTTGCCAGACCTCGCCACCGTACTCTTTGGACAGCACCCTGCACAGCACCCTGCACAGCACCCCGCACAGCACCTTTGCCAGACTTTGCCACCGTACTCTGGACAGCACCCTGCACAGCACCCCGCACAGCAACCTGCACAGCACCTTTGCCAGACCTCGCCACCGCACTCTGGACAGCACCCTCCGCAGCACCCCGCACAGCACCCCGCACAGCACCCTGCACAGCACCTTTTCCAGACCTCGCCACCGCACTCTGAACAGCACCCTGCACAGCACCCCGCACAGCACCCTGCACAGCACTCTCCCCTCTCAGCTTTCCAGCTTGCCCCTGGGATTCCACGCTGCGGCAACACGTTTTTTTTTGTGGAATCAAATGCTTTCAAACCTTTGTGTTCTGCTTTGTTGCGGTGTTTTGCTTTGTCATTGTTTTCAAGCACATAATTTTCCAAATTTGTAAATGTGTGAATCTATCAAGAACACAAATCGTTTCGAAAACATGAAAGAACACAATCATACACAGTCAAATCGATGTACGGGAAAACATGCATTTTTCAAGATTAAGTCAGAACATGAATGATAAATTATCGGTGTCATATGATCTGTACTCCATGAATCCTTCACCGGTATGCATATTCATTCGTCATAACATATCATAACATTGACTAACCGACACAGAACAGAATATGGCTGAATCATTTGACTTTTTTTGGTCTCCAAGTGCCGCCCCGCGGGTGACAGGGCATTATCTTTATGGTTATTTGTTAAGTAGGTATGCTGTTTATAATTACAGTAGTTACTTTTCGAACAGCAATGGACCTGTCGCCTGGAGGGCGCTACTATGGTGAGCAGGGACCAAGTGCGGAAGTCCCTCTTGAGGAGGGCGCGGCAGAACAAGTGCAACCATTTGTGCAAGCAGCACAAGGGGCACAACAAGTGCAACCGTTTGTGCAAGCAGCACACGGACTTCGCCACAAAGTTCGCCACCGAAGACCTGACCTTTGAGAAGTAAGAACCCCTATAGCTTCCAGCTACCTGGGGAAAAAACACCAAATATCGACCTCAACTTTACAAAAATCATCAAGACATCCCTGAAAATCTCCACATCTTCATATTTTTGCATATATTTTTTCATGGATTTGACATCCCTCAACGTCTCCACATCTTCCATGACCTTCTTTGGGTCCAGGAGCTTCGCGCCTTCGTGCTGGAGGAGAAGGGTCTGGCGATGAGCGGCGAGGACTTCGAGGTGAAGACGCCGGAGGGGCAGCTGGTGCTGAAGATCAACGGCGGCAACCGGGTGCCCATCCCCGGCGTGGCGCCCTGGTGGCTGTGATGGCTGTGATGGTCGTTGAACTCCGTTGAATTCGTTGATGTTTTGAGTAGCGGATGGGGATGTTGAGGAATTGATGGAATTAATGGGGAAATATGATATAAATAGAATATGTTTAAGATATAATGGGAGAAATATGAGCAACAAAATGATGTTGATGGACCGTTATCATCTTGTGTTTTTGCTTTAGTATCCCTTGCCCATCACTTCCTAATGGTTGATAAATGTGTCCCCATCAAAATTGCGACCAATTGTAGTATCCAACCCATTTTAGAAACGCCGAGCTCTTTACCCATTGCGTGCCCTTCGAGTATGTCTGAAAATGGGGTATACCATCATGTTCCCTATCAAAATGGCCATAAAGGAGTTATAAATTATCCGTTTTCAAACACGGCCAAATATATCCAAATATCACATTGTTGATATTGTTAGTTATATGAGTTATATGTCGCAGACAATAGTCCTTCATGTCCCCAACCAAAAATCAACTAAACATCCAATAAAAATCAACTAAAGATCCCCAGCGTGTTTGGTTGGTTTTATGGGGCCAAATCCCTCATTCAATCATACAAAAATCCAGTATTTAAAAGCAGTAAACATGAAGTAACAATGCACTAAGAGTCCATGTTTCACATCACCTAACAAATCCATTAAACAAATATTCCAGAAATCCACTAAGCATCAAGTAAAAGTCGTTTCAAAATCCATTGAAAAAAAAACATGCTTCACATCCCAGGTGTGGGACAAGTTGTCCTTGGTCACCGCCGGCGGCCAAGAGATCGCGACGTTGGATCGACAAGCTTTCGCCATGACGGCCTCTTACGACCTCAAAAGGGCGGATGGGCAAAAGTTTGGGCGTGGCTGGGCCTGTTTTGGGCAGAGATCAAGGGATTTCACATGATTTCACCCAAAAAAAACCATGGGTGGGATCGGTGGGATTGGGATTGAGTGGGATTTAATCATTTGAATATGATTTAAGGGAAATCAATGGAGTTCACCCTCGAAACCATCAAGAAATGGGTGATAAATCACCATCAGCAGTGTGGATTTAAGCGTCGGGAATGGTGATTTGAGCAACATACATGATGGTGGAATAGGAATATAACCACAATCCTACCCCGAATATGAAACACTCAAAACAGAAACCATGGATCCATGTCGGGCATAAAAACACATATGTGAGACCATCAAAAAGGATGTGTCTTACACATATGGGGGGATGGGATTATTCAACTGAAAATAGGGAGTTCATGGTAAATGTTGATGATGTTAATGGGGATATTTCTGATGGGATATGGTCAAGCAACTTTTTCTGGCCAAGTCAAATCAACGATTTTCATTGGGATGTAATGGAGGTATAATACATAATAATACATATAGTAGCTTATAATTACTATATTTCATGGGATATAAGTACAACATAGTACAACAATATCCAACAATCGAAGATTTGGTTGTGACTGTGTGACTGGGGGATTCCAATTTTGAGAAACGCCACTTATACTTTACGAATGCACGTTTTGTTCGTTTGCTTGGGTACAAAATTTCAACCCAAAAAATAGCGATGCAATGGGAAAAAGGCAATGATGAGAGCGAGCGTAACAGGATTGAAATCCATTGAGAGATTGGCAAAAACCAGGGAAAGTGGACAACCAATCATAGAAATATATATATATACATATTTCCATTCACATCATCATCCATGTATGAGATGTAGAGTTTTATTGTTAGCAATCATAAATTTGTTGGATCAAACCAACATGTGTTTTTCCAATCATAACCAAAAATTGTTGAGAACTCGGTCATATCAACTCCCAAGAGGAAAAGCATGCAAGTTCCACATCGATAAACTGGTCATGATCGGCTTCACATGAATGGGGAATGGTGACTTAACCAAGTAGAGTGGGGTTTTAATATGATTTAATATGATTTTATGGTTTCAAAACTGTCAACATCTATCAAGGAATGAGAGAGTTGCGAATTCAAAAACTCCGTCAAGACAAGAGCATTTGACAACGGACATCGGACTTGGAGGGATTGACCAAGCCGAAAATTCCCCTCGAACCACCCCCTCCTCCCCGGAATTTTCCGCGGAATCGAGGCATCTCCAAAGCAATGTTTGCGTTCACCAGTACCTTTGAACTCTACCAGGAAACGGCTGCCTGGTAAAAAAACAACAACCGAAAGATACCCTTTGGTAATTTGTGACATAGAGATTCATATGGATTTAATGGGATTTAATGGGATATGAATGGGATATGAATGGGATAAATGGAGATTTAATGGGATAAACTAACAGTTTGCTGTTGAAATTTGCCATAGAAATAGTTGATGTGGCCACCAAAAATGGTGGATCTTTCCATCGTTTTTTCTTATCGTTTACCAGAGGCTGCTGGGTGATTTTTCACACCCAGGTCACCGTGCCAGGCCGGCTAATGGACATTGATATTTTTAATTGCCGTTGGATTGCTAGACATGGGGAAGTTCACACAAGAAATTCACACTTGATTTTTAACTGTATCCGATTTTTGCACGGATTGTATTTGCTAGTAGCCTCGTTTTCTTGCTGGTTTTAAGTGATGTGTGTTTTCTGGTCAGTTCTGCTACGTTTGCGACCCATGATGATTGCTACTGTACACACCGCGTGTTGGTGAAGTTTCCGTGTTTTCTATGTCCTGTGGACCCTCGATTTCTATAAATCCATCTGTTCGAAAAACCATATGTAGTTCACTGACAAAAAGAAATAGAACTGATTGGATTTATAGAAATACTGATATGTGCATCAGTTTCTATAAATCCATCAGTTTCTATTATATAATCCATATTTTTTCCCCAGAAAAAGATTTCAGAGTTTGACCAAGAATCACGTAGTCAAATCCATCTTTCACCCGAGTGGGTTGGTCTTAAAGAATGTGGAATTTAGCTCCTCGAATGGCCATTCTAATGGGGAAAAAAGGTGATATTTGACCACTGGATTTACCATGTTCCCCAACGTTTTCAGGTACCAGGTCCTCATTTTTTAGATATGTTGGTCGATGGTTCGACCAGAATCAATTATTTTATGATCCCCATAATTCTTTCCAGAGATTCAGATTCAGATGAATTTCCCAGTTATCATGCCACAAAACTATATAGTGGAACCATCCAGGAATTCCAGGATCATGTGGTGTAAACCCCCCTTTTTATCCTGTTTACCATCCCCAAGTAGCATTACAACGGTGCTATGAAAAAAACAAATACCCCAAGTTTGGATAAGTTTGGTAGGTTTATTCGCCAGGGTGGTTTCCCCACATGAATATCATGAATCACCGACCACACATTTGATCAGTGTTCATTTGAGCCCTGTTGGTTGATGAGTTCGTGGATTATACGACCCTTTATATCCCTTTATATATCCCATAGGATCCATGTATGGTATATATGCTAACATTTGGGGTATATTGATGGTAAATGTTACCATATATGGCATATATGGATCCTATGGGTATTGGGGATTCTTTCATAATGCCAAAATTGGGAAATCATGGGAAATCCCGTTCTAAACCAACCAGTATGTAGTCATATTTCGGGATGGCTAGCAGCCACTGCTCAATTCATCAACCCATATAGTCAATGGGAGATCTCCAGGATCCGATAAAAATTGGAGGTGCCATATTCTCAGGCCTATGTTTTTGGGCTATGTTTTTGCGGGAATATCCCCAGAAAATATGGCCCAAAATATGGTACTTACTAACGTACCTCCAATGAATCATGAATCGGGTCCTGAACTTCCCATTGATCCTTTTTTCGTGTCCCAATGGGACCCATTGATTTTCCGCAGGAGGATGATCCTGAGGGCGGTCCTTTGCTGAAAGCCGAAGGCTCCTTCAGCGATAAGAACTATGTGCCTCGACATCCAGCGAGTGGGGTGTTCCTGACATGGCATGGAAATAGTTGGTTTCTTGATGTCTATTGAATGTTGATCTTGGAACATCCAATTTTCTTGATGTCCACAAACTCAGATAATCCACAAACTCAATTTTCAGATGTTCCTGACATGATAATTAAATGTTCATCTTGGATTATCTGAGTTTGTGGACATCCACGTCGAACTGATTTTATCAAGGAGTGTTGATGGTTCGGTGTAATTTGGGGATTGGTTTGGTCTTGTATGCATCCCATGTTCATCTTTTTCCAAAATACATCAGGTGTTGTACGTCGAAATCATTCTGTTAATGATTGGGTAAAGTTTATTTGGGATGATGGAGAAAAAACTACCAAATTGTTTTGAATCAAGGTTTATCCCACACTAAATGTGTCGGTGCAGGTTCATTATTGGTGCGTTTAAAATGCTGTATCCTATTTGCAGACAGACCCATATCATATAATCTATGAATATTCATTAGATATACCATATTAATCCATATTTTACCCATCTCATATTATATTATATATACCCATCATATAATATCATATAATCTAGAAATTATACCCATATCATGTTTTATATACATATATATATATATATATACATAAACAGACAGGCTTCCATATATACATATATATATATATACATATATTATTGGTGACATATCCCATTGTATCCGCATGATAGCCCCATATGTAACCAGCTGCTGTGAGGTCATGAAATCGCGTTCCGGTCGAGTCGTGGCCACCGTCACGCGTTTGAAGGGCTTCACAGGGGGTATCTTGGTGCGTCAACGCGTAGACGTTGAGACGTTGGAGCGATTTGTTAGTTTAAACACTTTGTTTAGTGTGGCTTTATGTTTTTTGTTGTTGTTTTGTTTTTTTTTGCAATTATTTATTTATTTTGATGTTGATATATTTTTTTGTTTAATGTTTTTTGGGTGGTTCCGAAATTCTGACCCATGATCGTTTGGGAACAAATATATAGTTTCATAACGGGCCACAATTTGGTTCGAACTTTGTGACCATCGCAACTTTGAGATGTTGTGTAGAGTCCATAGGATCAGAGTGATTAGCTGCGGCCTAATCAGATAATATGGTTAAAACAATGCCATAAACCAGCCACGACTGGGAATGGAAAACGAATCCCACCCATTTATGTATTTTATGGTGAAATTGGGGGATAGTGTATTATTGTTTTGACCAAATTTATTTAAGTGTGTTTCATTTTATTTCCCTGTTTTGGACGGAAATCGGGGAAGCAAATAGTAGATGGACACTATTTCTATCCAGATCCATTGCACGCTATTTCGCAATTTGATCAGATCCAAGTGCCGGATTTTTCAGTTGTTTTCACAGTGAAACGGATTAACATCATCCTACCATAGCTCGGGATTTCATCTCGGAGGCAATGTGGACAACTATCAGGTCATTGTGGCCAAGGTCGGGGGGTTCTGGGCTGAAAGGGGCTGATCTATCCATCTTCTGGGAGAAAGGGGAAGAATGGTCTCAGATCCCCAAATGGCCTCAGAAATATCCTGACTTCAGGTGAATTACCAGGAAAAATTCAGCCAGATATTGCCATGGGAAGCAGCCGATTAGTAGCGATCAGGTTTTGTTGCACGGATTTTTCTTGCAAGCCATAGGAAAGCAGAATTCATTCAAATTGTAGCTATATGTAGCTATATCATGTGTTTTTTGACAAGGACCCACAAAACAGCAATTTGGCGAACTGATCTATATACCATCTGGTTATTTAACATAGCCATGAAAAATCACCATTTTTGAGTTCGGTAAACCATCTATTTCCAACGGCCATCGAAAAACCATGGCGAACTGTTAGTCATAACCAGAGGGTAACTGCTTGGTAGTTGAATAGTTTGTACATGCGGCAGTATCATTTTTGGGAGAGAATGGGTGTAATGGGCAGTTCCATCCCTGCGAGATTGCCGGTGTTTCACCAAGAAAAACGACTTGGGACTTCGGACTTCGGACTTCGTCAACTGGTCAATCCTATAGGCTATATCACCTATAACCATTGGGACATGATCATCAATAGTCAACCTTAATGGATTAACTAAAATCGAACAAGGACTTCACAAACCTGGACAAACCTACCCTCATTCATCCGTGACCAGCGGGTGATTCTCCCGGTACCCGCGAAGCGTTTTTCATGATCATTTAGTATCACTTACTAGTAACTATTCACGATATTATCATACATAATATTATCAGTAAGTGATACTAAATGTTATTAGTAAGTGATTTACAATAATATTCAGTATTAATAATTAATAGATACTAAATGATATTAATAACTAATAATATTCTGGAGATACCATGATATTAGTAAATAATTAGTTATTACTAAATAGTTTTGATACTGGAGCTACAATGATATTCGCAACCATTCTATCCCCAAAATATCATTGCCATTGTAAAAAAACACTGACAGTCAATGCTGAACCTATACACGGGCGAGTAAATATCCATCCACTAATTACCATGTTGCTCCCTTTTATAACCCTATTTGATCGAGTGGCCATTACTAATTCCATTACTAGTAGCCATAGAACTCGTTCCCATTGCTAAAATAATGATAACACGAATAGTCTAGTAATTACTAGTAGTTTCTACTACATCTGCCATGACTAAGAAATCCTGGTATTGCTAATAGCTACTCATACTATCCAATAATTGCTGATAATTACTACTATACTTAAGACTTAGTAATGATTACCCATACTTGCCACTACTAGTCCTTAAACATATCCAGTACTTGCTCATATCTAACAAAATCATGAATTAGGTATTCATATCTACAGTAGTTACATATAGTTACTCTACTACTGTATATGACTTAGTACCACAACTAATATACCATTAAGAATCACTATATGAATTAGTTCAGTACCAGCAATTGCTCATCACATACTGCATTATATAGTTATTAATATCTAGTAGTTACATGTAGTTGGAGCCCGACCCATAGACGGCCGTGGAGTTTTAAGCATTTTTTGGCAATTTTTTCGTTTTTTGATGGTCTTGCATGTCAACTAGCACACAGACGTCATGCTACATTATGGTTATCTTGGGGTGGGGTTGGGTGGGGTGGGGTGGGGCAATGACGTTCATGTCAACTTGCCCACACACGTCATGCTACGTTATTGTTATGTTCTCTTGCACTTGCACACACACACGTCATGCTACGTTATGGTGATCTTCTCTTGCACTTGCTCACACACGTCATGCTACGTCATGGTGATCTTCTCTTGCACTTGCTCACACACGTCATGCTACGCTATGGTGATCTTCTCTTGCACTTGCACACACACGTCATGCGCACCATTGTTTTTGCAGATGGAAACCGTGCTTGGGAGTCACATGCCAAAAGTTTGAAAATCAAACATGCCAAAGCGTCTCATCAAAACAAAGAATGGACCAAACAAATGCGAAGAACCTCCTTTTTTTTCCTGTCCACTGTGGCAGGGACGCAAATCGCTGACAGATGGTGGAAAGGCCTTTCCAAGACGGTTGTATGATGGAGTCAACACAAAAGAACACCCTGAATTGGAAAAGTTTGTCTTGGGTTACTGTTGGCGAAAATCTTTGGGACCATTGACACCTCACCGGTTTCTCGAAGAACTTTGCAAGGCCGTCAAAGCAATGAAGCGCTTCTGAGAAGAAGGAAAAAAAGTGCTGCATCCCAAAAAAACACGAACTTATGTC